TGTGTGTTGTTAAAGCCTTCCTCACTATAAAAATAATTATGAGATCGCACAGAAGTATTCATACTGACTGGTGAGGGACACACCCTTACCTGGAGTGAGACTGACTTCTGGGAATAATTATTATGTAAGGTTTTGCTGTTGTTATTTCACTTCCCTTCCATAAATCACTGCATACATAACAGGTGACACTATTATTTTCACCCAAGCTCCATTTCACTGTTTCTACATAATATGGATGACATGTCCTTCTTGCAGCCAATTCCTCTGACTCAGAATCAGATTTTGATCCCTATGACTTTCCTTTCTCACATGGCAATTAATCCTGAGGGATAATGCATCTATCCAAAAGCAGTGACAAATCATTTCCAAGTTGTCTTATCAGTCCCATAGTGTCACTTCTGAAACAATCAGCGTTGACAAAATTACCATTTGTCAGCTGCAAGAGGCCAACCTACTCGGATCTGCACACATTATTTGCCGATACACCTCACAGTCCTCGACATTTGGGAAGTGTCAGATGTGTGATCCAATACAAAAGCCAGCATAGTGATCTTGTTTGCTGTGTACTAATCTTGTTGTGTATCTAATAATAATAGTAATAATAATAATAATAATAATAATAATATCCCAAATGTAGACTCTGCAAGGAAGCAGATGAAACAATAGATCACATCCTCAGCTGCTGCAAGAAGATTGAGCAGACAGACTACAAGCAGAGGCATAACAACATTGCTCAGATGATTCATTGGAACTTGTGCCATCTGCCTGCAACAAAGAACTGGTGCGATCACAAGCCAGAAAAAGTTACAGAGAATGAACACGTCAAGATACTCTGGGACTTCTGGATTCATACAGACAGAATTTTGGAGCACAATACTCCTGACCCCACGATCGTGTTAAAAAGCAAAGTATAGCTTGCTGATGTTGCAATCCCAGGTGACAGCAGGATTAACGAGAAACAACTGGAAAAGATGACACGATATGAGGATTTAAAGATTGAACTGCAAAGACTCTGGCACAAACGGTAAAGGTGGTCGCTGTAGTGATCAGCACACTGGGTGCAGTGCCTAAAGACCTTGGCCTGCATTTAAACACAATCAGCACTGACAAAATTACCATCTGCCAGCTGCAAAAGGCCACCTTACTGGGATCTGCATGCATTATTCGCCGATACATCACACAGTTCTAGACACCTGGGAAGTGTCCGACGTGTGATCCAGTACAATGGCCAGCAGAGTATCTGCTGTGGACTCATCTTGTTGTGCTTCAAATAATAATAATAATAATAATAATAATAATAATAATAATAATAATAGGTTTAATGGGGGTAATTTCCTGATAACAGGAAATAAACTCAATTAACAATTGATTGCTATTTAATGCCAAAGTTTGCTGGCTCCAAATATTCCTCTTCTGTTATATCACATGAAAAGGAATCTTTTTCTTGTAAATGTTCCATTTCTGCAGTGAGTCTGTATCCAACAGTTATATATCCATCTGCACTGAATGTTCTGAAACCTTCTGCTTATGTACTCCTACTCCTAGGCTGCTAAAAATATATCTCGCAAAAACGCAGATTTTTTTTAATGGATTCATATGCTTCACTTGCATTGCACCCAAAGCAGCCACTACATATTTTATCACTCCTTGGAATCATTGCTATTGCAAATGAATAATACTGTAGATGACACTAGCCACTGTGAAGATGAAGTAAACATTTTTTTAAAAAAAATGTTCTCTTTATCCCAGGCTACAACTACTGGTCAAGACTTTAACTGGAGTATAGGCACAGCTAAATTTTAAAAACACTAATTTCCAGGGCTTGCCCAATGATGCAGTCCTAGGGTGCATCCACACCTTAGAAATAATGCAGTTTGACACCACTTCATCTGCCATGACTCAAGGATATGGAATCAGAAGAGTTGTAGTTCAACAAAGTGGAAATTAATGCAGTCTGACACCACTTCAACTGCTATGGGATCCTGGGAGTTGTAGTTTGATGTGGCGCCAGCCCTCTTTGGTAGAGAAGGCCTAAAGACCTTGTAGAATTACAACTCCAAGGACTGCATAGCATTTAGCCAGGTCGGTGGTGCCAAACTTCATTCATTCTACAGTGTGGAACGATACACCTTTAATGAGTCTCAGTGAAGCAAGCCATGAAACAACAACAACAACAACAATTCTTACCCACCTCTCCTCATAGCTCGAGGTGGGTTACAACATTGCTAAAATACATAATCACTCCGTGGAATACACATATTAAAACATATTTCCATAAAAACATATTAAAATTTGTTGTTGTTGTTTATTCATTCAGTCGCTTCTGACTCTTTGTGGCCTCATGGACCAGCCCACTCCTGAGCTCCCTGTTGGCCGTGGCCACCCCAAGCTCCTTCAGAGTCAAGTCAGTCACTTCAAGGATGCCATCCATCCATCTTGCCCTTGGTCGGCCCCTCTTCCTTTTGCCTTCCACTTTCCCCAGCATAATAGTCTTCTCTAGGCTTTGCTGTCTCCTCATGATGTGGCCAAAGTACTTCAACTTTGTCTCTAGTATCCTTCCCTCCAGTGAGCAGCCGGGCTTTATTTCCTGGAGGATGGACTGGTTGGATCTTCTCGCAGTCCAAGGCACTCTCAGAACTTTCCTCCAGCACCACAGTTCAAAAGCATCTATCTTCCTTCGCTCAGCCTTCCCTAAGGTCCAGCTCTCACATCCGTAGGTTACTACAGGGAATACCATGGCTTTGACTAGGCGGATCTTTGTTGCCAGTCTGATGTCTCTACTCTTTATATGAACAAATACATATATTTAAAACTTATCCAGCCTTTGAAAAATTTGTTACTTGACTCCATATTTTACTGGATGTTGAATCATCCCCTGTCCTGCTATTTTTATTTACTTTTCTATAAGGTACGTATTTAACATTTATTATGTAAATGCCTTTATAATGTGTATGGTAAAAGACATGGCAACAACTGCTTCAATAAATACATGCCAGCTTAAATAGTCAGGAATTCTGGGAGCTGAAGTTCAAAACACATGGAGCGCCACAGGCTGTGTAGACCTGCTGTAAGGTAAAGTAAAATAAGTGGGAACAGGGATTATTTGCAGTCTTCCCAGTGACTATGGGGAATACAATTGCTTTTACTATGCAGATCTTCGTTGCCAGTGTGATGTCTCTACTCTTCACTATTTTATCGAGATTGGTCATTTCTCTCCTCCCAAGAAGGAAACATCTTCCGATTTCCTGGAGTCTGCGTCTGAAGTAATCTTTGTAGGTAGAAATACAAAGTCTGTCACTGCCTCCACATTTTCTCCCTCTATTTGCCAGTTATTAATCAATCTGGTTGCCACAAATCTTAGTTTTTTTATGTTTAACCGCAACCCGGCATTTGGACTTTCTTCTTTCACCTTGATTAGAAGGCTCCTCATCAGCTCTTCCTCACTTTCGGCCATCAAAGTGGAATCATCTGCATATCTAAAGTTGTTAATGTTTCTTCCAGCAAGTTTAACTCCAGCCTTGGATTTGTGAAGTCCCGCACGTCGCATGATCTGTTCTGCATACAATTTGATTAGGTAAGGTGAGAGTATACTATACACTCCCTGTCGTACTCCTTTCCCAGGACCCTTCCACACAGCCCTATATCCCAGAATATCAAGGCAGAAAATCCCACATTATCTGAATGTGGACTCAGATAACCAAATTCAAAGCAGATATTGTGGGATTTTCTGCCTTGATATTCTGGGATAGAGGGATGTGTGGAAGGGCCCCCAATCTTGAACGAGTCATATTAAAATACACAAGACAAAATTTAGGGCCCTTCCACACAGCCATATGAACCAGAATTTCAAGGCAGAATTATTTATTTATTTACAGTATTTATATTCCGCCCTTCTCACCTTGCAGGAGACTCAGGGTGAATTACAATGCACATATAGATAGCAAACATTCAAAGCCATAGATATACAACATATATAGACACAGAGGCAATTTAACATTCCAGCTTTCCAGCTTAATGAGAGTATGCTCAATTCCAGCCACAGGGGGGGGATGCCGCTTCACCGTCCACTTGTGATACCGAGTCCTTGATGGAGTACTTCCTCATTCTTAAACACGCTGCTGGAAGGTTTTATGGCAGGGGTCCACAAACTAAGGCTTGGGGTCCGGATACAGCCCTCCAAGGTCATTTACCCGGCCCTCGCTCAGGGTCAACCTAAGTCTGAAACGACTTGAAAGCACACAACAACAACAACAACAACAACAACAACAACAACAACAGCAATCCTATCTCATCTGCCAAAAGCAGACCCACACTTCCCATTGAAATACTAATAAGTTTATAGTTGTTACAATTGTTCTTCATTTTTAATTACTGTATTGTTTTTAAGTGTTTTTGCACTACAAATAAGATATGTGCAGTGCATTCATGTGTTTTAATATATATGTGTGTGTGTGTGTGTGTGTGTTTCTGCTCCCCATGAAGGAGTCAGAAGGCCTAATATTGCCATATATCCACACTGCCATATATCCCAGTTCAAAGCAGATAGTGTGAGATTAGTGTTGAGAGGGAGATCTTCCACTAAGGCAGGCCTGGGCAACCTTGGGCCCTCCAGGTGTTTTGGACTTCAACTCCCACAATTCCTAACAGCCTAGGAATTGTGGGAGTTGAAGTCCAAAACACCTGGAGGGCCCAAGCTTGCACTAAAGCGACCATAGCAAGCTCAACTCTGTATCCTGCTCTGAGGGGGACGAAGTGTGTGTCATTCTAAGACGCCCTGGAGCTGAAAGAGACAGCCTGTCGGAAAGGAAATGAAAACAGCAGCTGCGCATGCGCACAGAGCTCTCTCTCTCTCTCTTTCTGTGTTCATTCTTTTTCCCTCTTCCCACTCCCTTCAGTTGTTGTCGTGGTCGTCACTGCCGAGGCCCCGCCTCCATTTCTTCCCCCTTAGCCAATCAGAGAAGGCGAGGAGGGGAAATGGGCGTGGCTAAGGCAGGGGCGGGGCAGGAGGGGCCCGTCCCTTTTCCTGTGGTCGGCGGGGTCTTTCTCTTTCTTTGGCCGAGGAGGAGAAGCCGGAGGAAGAGCAGCGGGCGCGTGAGGGGGAGAGAGAGGGAGAGGGAGAGAGCGCCGTTTGGCCGTTGACATCCGGTTGCCCCCACATCCGGTTGCCCGCTCGCCTCAGGCAGGCCATGGCAGCCGGCGAAGGGGCCGAGGAAGAGGTGCGGGTGCTGCAGACGCTCCGCGGGAAGATCTGTGAGTCCTGGGAGGGTGTGTGTTGGGGGTATTGTGCGTGTGCGTGTGTGTGTGAGGGACAGAGGCCAGAGAAGGAACTCTCTGAGGGGAGAAGAGCCGGAAGGAAGGAAGGAAGGCAGGCCTTCTTCGCCTCAGGCAAGCCGCCCTGACTCAGCCCCGTCTGCCTTTCCTGGGTGAGCCCTCCCAGAAACTCCCCTACCTCTACATAGGAGAATTGATGCGGTTTGACACCGCTTTAGCTGCCATGGCTCAGTGGTTGCCTCTGCGCTGCTCAGTTTGACAGAAGTATCCCACTAAATCATATCAGTTTGATAGAAGTATCACACAATACTAATATATAGAAGTAAAAGCATTGTAATGTAATAATGATGCCGTTCAACAGTGGAACCCTCTGCCCCAGAGTGTGGTGGAGGCTCCTAAAATGATAAAGGGTCTGGAGAACAAGCCCTATGAGGAGCGGCTTAAGGAGCTGGGCATGTTTAGCCTGAAGAAGAGAAGGCTGAGAGGAGATGTGATAGCCATGTATAAATATGTGAGAGGAAGCCACAGGGAGGAGGGAGCAAGCTTGTTTTCTGCTTCCCTGGAGACTAGGACACGGAACAATGGCTTCAAACTACAAGAAAGGAGATTCCATCTGAACATGAGGAAGAACTTCCTGACTGTGAGAGCCGTTCAGCAGTGGAACTCTCTGCCCCGGAGTGTGGTGGAGGCTCCTTCTTTGGAAGCTTTTAAACAGAGGCTGGATGGCCATCTGTCAGGGGTGATTTGAATGCAATATTCCTTTTTCTTGGCAGAATGGGGTTGGACTGGATGGCCCATGAGGTCTCTTCCAACTCTTTGATTCTATGATTCTGTGTATTATATATAGTATTAATAATGTATGATAATATCTATATAAATAAAAATGTAATGTTTGTTTGTGGGATTAACATAACTCAAAAACCACTGGATGAATTGACACCAAATTTGGACACAAGACACCTATCAGGTCAACGAGTGACCATCACTCATAAAAACACTGAAAAACACAGTGAAAGAGACTTAAAAATCCAAGAAATAAAAAATACATTACAATTCATGCACAAAACCACATATATACACAAATATATACACACACAAAACACATAAATTGTTTTAAATTGTTTTTAAATTGTGTTAGATTTTAGTCATTCTTGTAAGCCGCTCCGAGCCCCATGGGAGTGGTGGCATATAAGTTTGAATAATAAATAAATAAATAAATAAATATACACAGACTGGGCCATAGCAACACGTGGCAGGGACGGCTAGTCTATATAAATAAAAATGTAATGTCCATTAGTGGGATAAACATAGCTCAAAAAGCACTGGAGAAATTGACACCAAATTTAGACACAATACACCTATCAGACCAACGAGTGACCATCACTCATAAAAATACTGAAAAACACAGAAAAAGAGACTTAAAAAGCCAAAAAAATTAAAAAAATCCTTACAATGCATGCACAAAAGCAGATATATACACATATATATACACACAAAACACATACACACAGACTGGGCCATAGCAACGCGTGGCAGGGGACAGCTAGCAATCTATATAAATAAAAATGTAATGTTCGTTTGTGGGATTGACATAACTCAAAAACCACTGGACGAAATGACACCAAATTTAGACACAATACACCTATCAGACCAATGAGTGACCATCACTCATATAAATACTGAAAAACACAGTGGAAGAGACTTAAAAAGCCAAGAAATAAAAAATACATTACAATGCATGCGCAAAGCCACAAATACACACATATACACAAATGTATACACACACAAAACACATATACACAGACTGGGTCACAGCAACACGTGGCGGAGACAGCTAGTCTATATAAATAAAAATGTAATGTCCATTAGTGGGATAAACACAGCTCAAAAAGCACTGGAGAAATTGACACCAAATTTAGACACAATACACCTATCAGGCCAACAAGTGACCATCACTCATAAAAACACTGAAAAACACAGCAGAAGAGACTTAAAAAGCCCAAAAACAAAAAAACGTTACAACGCATGCTCAAAACCACATATATACACAAACACACAAATATAGACACACACATACACATATATATATATATACACACACACACACACACAACACATATACACAGACTGGGCCACAACAATGCATGGCAGGGCACAACTAGTCTATATAAATAAAAATGTAATGTTAATTTGTGGGATTAACATAACTAAAAAACCACCGGATGAATTGACACAGAATTTGGACACAAAATAGGCCAACAAGTGACCATCATTCATTAAAACACTGAAAAACACAGCAGAAAGGACTTGAAAATCCAAAAAAACAAAACATACATTACAATGCATGTGCAAAACCACACATATATACGCAAACACACATAGGCACAAATATATACGCACACTAAACACATATACACAGACTGGGCCACAGCAATGCATGGCAGGGGATGGCTAGTAATATATATATATATATATATATATATATATATATATATATCTCACAACTTATAATACTGGTAGTGTATTATATATATTTTTGGTATAATAATATAGTACAATATAATATATATCTATATAAATGTAATGTTCATTTGTGGGATTAACATAACTCAAAAACCACTGGATGAATTGACACCAAATTCGGACACAATACACCTATCAGGCCAACGAGTGACCATCACTCATAAAAACACTGGAAAAGACAGCAGAAGGGAGTTAGTTAAAAAGCCAAAAGATGCTACAGTGCAAGTGCAAAAACAACTTCCCCCTGGCAAACAAAACACACAATAGCACATCCATACTCTCTTTTGGACTACAGCTCCAGCATTCCCTAGACCAGGCCCTTTAGGAGAGGAGGATGTTCCAAATGCACTGCTTTCAAGCTGCAAGCTTTCTTCTCCAATTCCTGCATATTTCCAATTTCCTTTTCCTGGACTGTAACTCCCAGCAAACCTCCAGATAGATAGATAGATTAGATAGAGATAGGTAGGTAGGTAGATTGATCGATCAGGAGGACTGCTGGGAGTTGCAGTCCAAGAATAGGAAGAGAAGGAAGAAAGGGGAGAAAGGGAAGGGAAATAAAAGGGGGGGAGGAAGGGAAGGAAGAAAAGGAAGAGAGAGGGAAAGAAAAAAAGGGAAGGAAGAAAAGAGTGGGAAGGAACAAGAGAAAGAAAGAAGGAGAGAAAGAGGAAGGTTGGCCACAGCAACACGTGGGTACAGCTAGTATAATACATATCTAAATAAAAATGTAATGTTCATTTGTGGGATAAACATAACTCAAAAACCACTGGACAAATTGACACAAAATTTGGACAGAATACACTTCACTTATCAGGCCAACAAGTAACCATCACTCATAAAACCATTGAAAAACACAATAGAGGAGACTTAAAAAAGACAAAAAAATACAATGCATGCTCAAAATCCCATATATATAGACAAACACACATATACACATGTAAACATTTATATACACATATATACACACACACAAAACACAAATACACAGAGTAGGCCACAGCAGTGCGTGGCAGGGGATGGCTAGTATTATATATACTACAACTTATGATATAGTACAATATATTATATAATACTAATAGTATAATATACTGGTAGTGTATTATATATATTGTGGTATAATAATGTAGTACAATATATTATATATTATATATACTACAACTTATATAATACTAATAGTATACTGGTAGTATATTATATATATTGTGGTATAATAATATAGTAACATAACATATATATTATATATACTACAAAATATGATATAGTACAATATATTATATAATATGGTTTTATTCTATATTTGTATATTTTAAGTTGTAATGTTTTTGCTTGTGAGCCACTTTGAGTCTCCACATTAGAAATAATAAATAAATAACGCATGGGCAAACTTTGGCACTCCAGGTGTTTTGAACAGCAACTGGCTGTTACGAATTGTGGGAGTTGAAGTCCAAAACACCTAGAGGGCCAAAGTTTGCGCATGCCTGAGGTACAACATGGTTTAAATATAATACTCTTAAAATTCACATATTAAAATACACATAACCAAGGTTGCCTCGAACAGTAACAGAACATAGGTTTGAATTCACAGTTTAAAATTGACGGATTGGACCATATCTGATGGTATAGTGTTGGTATGGCTATGCCCCCCCCCCCCCAGGTTGTCTAAAATGCCATCTCAGTTTATGAGATGATTTTGTTGAATTATTTGGTAAATCCTCAACCACTTTTGGGAAGCAGAACTGTTGTGATTGCTGTTTGTTGTGGTTGCTGTATATTATGGTTCTGTCGCACTCTTCCTCCCTGGGAATCTCTCCACAATTATGCGGACTTGATGAGGTGAGGTAGGTTCGCTTTAGTGGCCTTTGTGGTTATGTAGATGTTTAAACACAAGTTTTGTGAATCTTAGTCCAACACGCTTATCTATTATTCTGTCCCATATAGCAGATTTGCATTACACATTAAGAGCCCCTTTACACTGACCATTTTTTTTTTTTTTTGCATTTTAAAGCTAGCTTCAGACTGTTGTTGCCAGACAACAAATTCAGTGTTTGGTGGTTTGTATAATCACCATTCAGGCTACACACTGGTTCCAGGATTTCCTATGTCCTGCACAGTGAAACCTCTTTCTTTAGTACTGGTATGATACTGCATTAAATTGTCAGTGTAGCTGGGGCCTGACACATTATATTACCCCATGGTTCCAAACATGTGGAAGTAGCAGGTTTGGGTGCATCTACACTTTAGAATTAAAGCAGTTTGACACTACTTTAATAATTCCATAGAAGTGAGCAGTGGCAGTTAAAAGTAGTGTCAAACTGCATTATTTCTATAGTGTAGAGTACTCTTGGGGTTTGTCATTTGGTGATGCTTTTTACTAGAGCATTCAATCTCTGTTAATTTTTAAATTCTGTATGTATGTATTTTATCTTTTACAATTTACCTGTAAATCACCTAGAGCATTCTCGGATGGAGGGCGATTAATAAGTAATTAAATATGATGATGATGATGCACTGGTGCTTAGCAGAGGAGGCTAAAGAAGATGGATCCCATAGCATTGAGCCAAAGCAGTTAAAATGGTGTCAAATTGTATTCTAAAACATATAGGCACCTGAAGAAAGGTTTTGCAGTCTAGTTAGGGCAAAGCAAAGGTGAGGTAAAAAAAAAGGGGGGGGGGTCAGATGTGAGTCAGTCGAAATGTGGGGTTAAGAGATGCCAATTTATAAATTAAGGCTGCAGAGAGAACAAGATTCTCATATCTGGAAAGATAAAAGGGTTCCACTTGTTGCTGGAAGGCATCTACCATTTCCTAACCTAGAACCAAACTGAATGAACTTTTATTGCAGTTAACAGATCATTAGGCAGCACATTAAACACATACTAAAATGATGGAAAACATTCATATTAAGTGTAAATACAATTGGAACAATTACAAGACTAGAAAAAGCTCAGTTATTTCTGGTAATAATCATTTCGTAATAGTTACTTGAAGGAAAGAGCCACATACTGCATTTGATGGAGAGCTCCTGCCCAATCTTGACTACTTACATTTCTATACCTTGCATGTATTTGGAAATGCTTTTGCATGCCTGCTGTGTAATGAAGTCAAGGGAAACATGCCAAATGAAAGGTTTACAAGGCAATGAAATATTTTTGATATTTTGAGGTAAACCATATTTTAGGCGAAATGCGTGGGTAGTTTGTTTAAAACAGTTGTTTTCAACCTGTGGGCCGTGGCCCAGGAGTGGGCCGCGAGAACGGAAATCCGAATTGCGAACCTCCTTCCTATTTTTAAATTGAAATTTATTTTATTTCCGCTCCTTTCCACAGAGCTGACACCCCACCCCTTTTGGTACTAATGTTGGAGAGTGGTTCCTGGTCAAAGTGGCCCTCGGTCAAAGTGGGACCTGGTCAAGTGGGCCCTTATTAAAAAAAAGGTTGGGAACCACTGGTTTAAAAGAATGACTTGAGACATCTCTCAGTTAGATTATGCTTCATTGAATTTAAAGTGTACAGAACATCTCAGTGTTGTGGAAGTATTTAAATGAGCCTTTAGTATCTGCTGGGTTTGATTTCCCCTCTCCCCCTGGCACCATGGATACCAAAATGTGTGGGAATTCCTGAAATATACAAGGGCATGCTAAAATGACCAAGTCAAAGTTTGGTTTTTGGAGTGGTTTTTAATATTTTCAGGTTGTTGATGGTTGAATCAGTGTATGTGCAATATGGAGCACTGATTGTGGAGCGCTGATTGTGTATGTGCTGATTATTCCATGGATTCACAGTCATGGATTAGGTGCATGAGGTTCTTTTCTTTTAAAGTTCATGGAGAATAAGAGCAGAGGGGTTTGAAGATTGTGAAATATAGCAATCTCAGTAGAAAACACTCACTGTGTCTGGAAAATGCCCTGCCAAAGAAAAAAACTGCCTGGCATCTTCATTAATAACATTTAGACGCTGTGCTAAAACTGTTCTCTTCTCAAAGGTATTTATTTATTTATTTATTTATTTATTTATTTATTTGCTTTATTTCTATACCGCGTTTCTCAACCTAATTAGGCGACTCAATGCGGTTTACACAATGTAAATTAACACAACAATAACAATTAAAACACATCATACACAATAACAAAATATACAATTAATCATTCATAATGCCTCGATCACAAAGCAAAATCCAGTCTCATAATCCTTGTGCCATTCCTATGTTCAATTTACCGTCATCCTATGTTCGATTGCGCTGATTAGCCAAACGCTTGCTCAAAGAGCCAGGTTTTAACCTTCTTTCGAAACGCCAGCAGCGAAGGGGCCTGTCTGATGTCAATGGGTAGGGCATTCCATAGCCGTATCTAATTTTTGGGCTTTAATTTTCCTTATTGTTTACTATTTAAGTTTTATTGGTAACTCTTAATATGTGTTGGTGCTGATTTATTTGTTTCCTTTTTGCCTTTTTGATTATTTTGTGTATTTAATAAATATCCTGAGATTGTTCACCATTTGGACAGTATATACAATTTAAGTATATAATAAGGCATGTCTTTATGTGATCTCTTAAGACAACAGAAAATAGAGAAAACAGGCATGAGAATAAAAGTAGCATTATGCTGCATATTAGAATTGAATCAGGGGGAAAGAAGAGGCAATGATACCTTGAAGAAAACCGAATACTAGCCATAGTAATTATGCACCACCTGTATGATCTTAAACATCTCTCTACTTTCTGCCACATCTGCCTTTCCCAGCTGTATGAACACTGCTAAACCTTTTCATACAAAAAATGATACTAAACATCTATAGTATGAATGATGTCATTGATGACTCAAGTGTTTCACACTTGCTATGATGGGCTGGAACAGGGGTTCTCAAACTGTGCTTAGTGATAATGAGGGACTGTGGCACTATGCTGCTTCCCACCTCTTCCCTTCTCCTGAGAAATGCAGGAAAATTAAAGTTTGGAGCTGTCAAAATAGCAGCAGCACCCTGGGCACAGACCCATTCTCTCCCATCATCTTCGATGCACAAACTCTTTTCCTCGCTGCCCAGATTCCCCCCATCCTGCTTTGCTTCCAAAAACCTGATTTGTTCTTTCTTTTTTGCTCTACAAACAAGATATGTGCAGTATGCATAGGAATTTGTTCATGTTTTTTCAAGTAGTTCACAAAAGATTCTCTATCCTTCTGCCAATGATCCAGCCCATCTGTCAAATTTTAAAATGCAGTGTGGCCCCTGTGTCCAAAAGTTTTTCCATGCCTGATATGTATACGTTGTACATAATATATAATATAATATATAAACATTTCTTGTAGCTCCATGAGAAACTTTTGCTTCAAAAAGCACTCAGTGGCTGAAAAAGGTTTGAGAACCCTGGGGTAGAAATACAAAGCCTAGGAGAGTCTTGAATGTGTATCTAAGTTGTGTATCTAAGTAGGCTATAGTTGTGATTTTCAAAGCAGCTGAGGTAATACATTCTTAGCAACTACTCAAAGCTGTAACTGCTTGATAGGAAGTCCTAAATGCAAATGGAATTTCTCTTTGCGTTGAAAAGAAAGCACACATTTATTGAAATGAAAATGTTACTTGTGATAACATTCTGGTTTGTGTCTTAAATGAACCAAAAGCACATATAAGTTGCTTTCCAATTGTGATGCAGCAGGAACATTGTGCAGGATTTCTTAATATGATCTTACTATTTTTAGATACCTTAATGAAGTAGAAGATTAACTGGACCTAATGTTAGCTGAAGCATCTGTGACGAAAAAGTCAGAAAAACTGGAAATAAATATTTTATTATATTATTGGGTCGAATAATGGTACTGTTTTGAGCCTGACGTAGATTATAGGACAGCTATAACAAACAGGATATAGTGGTTTTCCTATGGTGAGAGGGATTGAAGTACATTCATGTAAGTCAAACGTAACCCACTTCCTTTCTCATGCCTCTATTCAGTCTTTTCTTGAGAATGACTTGCAGCACCTATAACTTCCATTTTGATGTGAAACTAGATTACATATTGGTTCAGTTGAACAGTATAGCCTTTGAAAGATAAACATGGTTTAATTGTATAGGCATGCATTTGATTTTAAATTGACATATCAAATCTTGGTTATTAATTCATTGTAATGTAGCTCTTTGCAGTAAGATATTTACAATTTAAACTTTTGAAAGATCTGTGTGTTTATGGTTAATCACTCTGTCCAGCTGAGTGATCTGTTTGAGTTACAGAACTGTCAAAAATATCTATGCTTCTCTTCACTTTATATTGTAGTGATGGAGATTAAAGCTGTTTTGACTAGGGCCAAGTTATAGAACATGTTAAAATGTTTGCTATTTAGGGTTTTTAATTTTCTTAAAATGGCAGTGGTGCTGTCTACTGATCTTTACTCATGAAACTTGTAGGAAAATAGGGAGCTATCTTATATTGAGTCAGGCAGTTGGTTTGTCTGATCTAGCATTATACTGACTGACTCAGGAGCTCTGTGGTTTTAGACTGAATTGTTTCCCTGCACTATCTGGAAATACCTAGGTGTGAACCTGGGATGTTCAGTATATAAAGCATGTATGCTACTACTGAGCTTCAGCTTTTCCCTGAGGTGCATCAGTTGAAGTACTCTAAACTGCAGCTTCATAAAACTGCTGTGCCTTTAATGTTCCTTGATTGTAGTTGTCCAGATTTTTATAATGGCTGTGTAAACTGAAAGAAACACTAGTAGACAGTTAACATTTAAGTAGCATCTTCTTGTGTTACAATTTGCACTCATATTGTTTTCAGCTACAAGTTTGCAGTTCCTCTGTGAGTCTTATTTAGCAAACTCTACCAAGCCTAATAAGTTACTAAGATGGGATTCCTCTGAGGAAAGCACAAGTGTTGCAGCGTGGCGTTAATTAGTGTACGATTGGAATCCTTTATTTCAACCAATATTCTTAGCATGAAATGTTTTTCTGAAGGAGATTGATTGGAGATAGAATCTCAGTTTTCTTATTTACCCAGAGTTCAAATGCCTACAGTATAATTAACTGTACTATGGTTTTTATTTTAAAAGCAAACCATGATATTTGCATGTAAGTTGGAGGAGGAAAACAATCTAAAATAGTTTTGAAAATTGGGAGCTTTCTGCACACACGATATTTGGGGACTTGGATGGCACTTTCTCCACCTCTGTGTCTATGTCTTTAATATTTGCAGCTTTTCTTTTCGAATTAAAATGCTGTCCTATAGCTGTTGACAGGTTTGTATATTGATAGTATCAGAATTTTTAAAATATTTGTTTAAACCTTTTTATTTTTCTTCCTTACTAGGTCAAGCCAAAAACTTAGTGCCATACTCAGGACCAAACAAAATGAGAGATTGCTTTTGCACAATCAATTTGGATCAAGAAGAGGTTTATCGCACTCAGGTAGTGGAGAAGTCATTAAGGTAAGCAGTTTACTATGATGGTTGATGATTTAAAGTGAGAAAACAGCCCTTGGAGAAATTAGGCTACTAAGAAATCTCTTAATGTATAGAACATTGGCAGAAATGGAACTGTGATCCAACTTCTGTTTAGTTGTTTCTTCCTTGTTCTGCCTGGTTACATAATTGAAATTGTTCCATTGATTTTGGATATGCTCAATAACTCAAGTGTCAATCTTGCAATGGAACAATTGCTCATTGAAGCTTATTTTTTTAGTAATTTTCAGACTTATCCTTAGCCTTCTGCTCCTATAGCTATAAAGTAGAAATCAAGAGCTTTGACTTCTCTCACATTCAATTCAGTTTAGTGAGTCGCCGTTAGGCTGAGAATTGTGGTATATAAGTGAAGTAAATAAATAAATAAATAGTGTGATACCCCAAAATTAACTGTGATCAAGCATGAGAGGTTGATAGAAATCGGATTTATAAATTATTATATATGACTAATAATAGCTTATGATTAATCAGCTGCAATAACCTAAAATAGAAGTGAAAGTTTCTGAACTCTAGTGTCAGAGAGGGACCTCATGACACTAAAGTTAAATGGCATTTTCCCTAATCCTCCTTTTTTGTGACACACTCCATATAAAGAGGGTGGTGTACAATCTCCTTCCGGTTTTTTGGACCACTTCCAAAGAAGGCAGATGAAATATATTACTACACATTTTTTTCCCCTTCTGACCATGCTGCATCAAGGTTTGGCAAAAGTTCAGTGGTGTCTTTCAGTATACTGATTCAAAAGTGAGCACTTATTAATTTTGATATGAAAATACTTTATTATCTGTTTTGCTTCCTTAGAATAATATTTGAGATAAGCAGCAAGTATAAGATTATAGTGATGTTGGTATGTATTATGAACATATGTGTAGAAACAGGCAGATAGTACAAATTATCTTTCTGGAGGTGTTACATGACAGTTTGTAATACATAATAATGATGGTGTCTTATTAAAAATTGGCTTGGAAGTTTCATTAAATACAGTAACTATTCTTATAGAAGAATTGTGTTCACAGCATTAAGGAGCCTTTAAATTGACAGAGAGAGTGTAGGAACTAAGTTTTTTTTATTTATTAAAGGGCAGATCTGAGCCATACCTGGCTAGTTCCAGCTTTATCATCAGTTGCACTTGAAATACTTACTGCAACCCATTGTCTCAGTTCACATAACTTTTCCCCATTTAGATTCATTGACAGTGTGTTGCCAAGCATTTTTAATTAAAGTAACCAGAATACAGAAAAATAAACAAACAAGAATGTCCTACAAAGTAATATTTTATTTCATAGTTGAAAGGAACCACACAGACTATTTAGTCCAATCCTCTGCCATGCCCATTGAACCACTGGGATTTACATTAGTGCTGACTTGCCTTTCAACAGTTGATTCTGTGAGTTTGCTCTAGGTGATAGTAACAATTGGATTTAAGCATAGACCTAACTAAATTGGACATAAGTAACTAATACTTTATAAAAGACTTTGTGTAAGACTTGTACTCAAAAGAAAAAATCATAACAGTTTGGTTTTTTATAAAAGTTTGTATTAATCTTCTGTACTGATTTGCAGATGTGGTGATGCATTGCAGTATAATCAATCTGTTATTTTGCTGAGATACTTCATGGTATTTTTTTTCCTCCTAGCCCTTTCTTTGGAGAAGAATTTTACTTTGAAATACCAAGGATATTCCAATGCTTATCATTTTATGTTTATGACAAAAATGTTCTACAGAGAGATCTGCGTATAGGTAAGGATTTGTTATTTTTTGGTTAATTTTGAAATAGTATAACATCATAGATAGGAACCATATCCTATTCTATTTTTTGTGGACTCTAGTGCATTGCTTCTCAGTGTATCTGACATGGAAACCAGCATTTTTTTCCCATTATACCAGGTACTTGCACTGAATCTGTGCCTATTGGGTACAGTTGTGTCTTTCTTTCATAGAAACTTGCCAGGGAATTGCAACCGATGGCTCAGAGACTGTCATTGGTCCAGAGATTATCACATTGAGTATCATTACTCAATGATCTTCTATCCAGACAGTTGACCAGCCTCCCTCAAACAATTATCACTCTTTCCTGTTTCACATTCTTCCAGATAAGACATGGGTCCCAAGGGCAGGTATTTTATTCTTAAACATTGGGTGTAATCCAATTTAAGACTGTGGTACCAGTATTCCTTTCTGAAGACTTGTTACTTCATTATATTTTATGAACATTGCTTGGGATATCAGTAAAATGATTATCTTGTAGCCTACTGAAAAGCTGCAAGATGCAATTTTCCTGTTGGAAAAGAGATATTATTTTAATAATTTCAGCACAGAAGTAAACCTTAAACCAGGGCCAGTTCATGGTCCCTCAGGCTGTTGGAGGAGTGGCAAATTATGATTTGAAAAAAACATAGACAAATTCCTATGCACACTGCACGTATATTATTTGGTGTGCAAAAAAGCATGAAAGAATAATACAATATTTAAAATGAAAAACAATTTTAACCAACATTAACTTAGTAGTATTCCAATGGGAAGGGTGGCCCTGCTTTTACCTGATGAGAGTGTCAAGTTAATCAGGATTGTTGTGTGCCTTCAACTCATTTCAGACTTAAGGCAACCTTAACTCTAAAGTTTAAGGAACCCTAAGTCTAAAGTTTAGGGCGGGGATCAGGTAAATCAGTTTGAAGGGCCACATCTGGCCCATGGCCTTAGTTGGGCCCCTGCCTTAAACCTACTTGACTAGTTCTTGATTGTATTTACATTTAGTTTGTGTTTCCTCCCATTAGGTAAAGTGGCTATAAAAAAGGAAGACTTAAGCTTATACTCTGGCAAAGAAAACTGGTTTATGCTTCAGCCTGTTGATTCTAATTCAGAAGTTCAGGTAAAATTAAATAAACAAATGTTGATGTATGTATGAAATCGAAATTCCCTTCCTATCATTTCCTATATATATATATAATATATATATTGTTAAATCCTTATGCTGAGTGAAGGGAATGAGTTCTAAAATACATATTTCACTAATCAGGAAATAATCATTCAATTTCTCTACCAGAACTGTCCTTTCTACAACATTGTTCAGTGTTTCAAGACATGAACTAGAATCTTAGCATAGTATGTTACTTTAGCTGTAAGAGCAGCTCCCAGATGACTTCAAGCAGGAGGAAATTAGTCAAATGGCTAGAAGCTAGGAGAAGCAGCTCAAAACATCTGAGCCTGTCCGTAATCTTCATCTCCAACCTGTTAATGGGTACTATAACCAGTACTTATTTGTTGACCATCTTGTTCAACTGCTGTTTCCTGACCAAATGAAGATACTATACTAAAGAAACATTCTGTCAGCATGATGGCAGAATGTACACTGTTCAAAGAAAGCATTATTGAGTCATACAATGGCTCTCACATGAGGGGAGGAAACCTTGTTAGTCCTCTTGTTAGTCCTTTGTATTGCCTCCTGTTTTGAATTCTCTGAGTAGTTATTTTTTTCTTGAAATAAAAGAATGGATGCCTAAATCACAGGTGATCCCAGTGTGGTCTTTTAGATAATGTTAGACTTCAGTTCTCCGCATTCTTAAAAAATAACATTTCTCACTGGGTCTGATGGGGATGGCTGTCTGACACACCTGCAGGATATCTGCCTGTGGCCCCAGTTACCAGCAATAAATCAAGTGATTGAATTGCAAGTGTCCAGGGAATCCGGGTTGTTTAAAGCATCACAGTGAGCTACTGAAGGTGGTGGTGGTGGTGGTGTTGATGATGATGATGATAATGATGATGATGATGATGATGATAGTGATAGTACTACATTGTATATTCCAGTGAAGTTCTGAAACCATATCAAAGGTATCTTATTTTCTGGACCCTTATGAGACTTGGTTTCAGGCTCCTTTTCCCCTGTAGATCTTAAAGTGGGAAATTTGTTTGGAAAAGAGCATAGATTCTTAAAATAGTAAGTCCTGTGATTGTGCAGCAACTCCATAGTAGTTAGTCCATGAGGAAGCAGTTGGATCTTTTTAAATGGAAAAAAGCAGGCATAAGTCAGTAAATGTTAGGTTCTCAGAAACCCCTATTGACTTTTAGCATGAGCCTAACTGTGACTGGATTTTGACCTCAGTTGATGTGCGAAAAATGTCCTTATATACCGACTATAGGAATATGAACATTTGTCACCTTCTTATCCCAACCTGTTGCATTCTTATCCCATCTCAATTTTTGTTTTGATTGCAAGACTTCTCTCCCCACATCTTCGTGTCATGACTTGTTTGCAATGACACAGTGTACTTGTACACATTTTTCAGAAGTATATGATTTTGTGTGAATTGTGTTTACTGATATACATTGCAGATCTTGGGAATGAATACCTTTTCAAGGCACAATCCATTTTTTCTATTATCAGTCTCAGGTAATACCCATAAAAAGTAGTGAATTTGTTTTCAATATCTATTTCAATGTTCCATTGTATTTTAGTTTCAGAGGATTGCCAGTTGATAGTCTGCACAGGGTGAATGGGTGACTAGCTTAAGCTTATGAACAGTAATAGCAGTGAATTATACAGATACTCAGTGTCTCAGTCCGGAAGTGTTCTGGCAGTGACTAATTTATTACTTCCTAAATAACAAGTCTATCTTGCTCAGGGTGTGTACATTCAGGCAATTCAGCATGAAGGAGGTTGAAATTATGAAGTTACTGCATTGTTGGCTAGCCTTATTTCCCTGGAGCAGTTCTGAGGTTGTTTAGATTTCAGTCATTATTAAATGCTGTGCTGTAAACTATCGGGTAATCCTAGAAGATTTCATATGAGTTCTTCTCTTAAAGACAATGTATACATGTTCATTTTCAGTTTTAAAAACCTGTTAGAATGTGGATGTAATCATAATTCTTAAATGGGAATATTGAATAGAAAATCCTATAGAAAGGATACCAACATTAGCTTGAAGTAAAATATTTTCATAACTCCTACTACTTTTAATTGCAAAATAAATACAGAATATTTGGCACTTGTCTTGACATTTGTGAAGTTCATGACAGTGATATGGACATGCTTTTTAAATCAAACTAATGAGTCAGTCATAGTCTTTATTCTTGTGCAAGTTGGTAACCAAGTTAACTGCTTTTGGCTTATTGTAAAGCAGGTATCAGATCTAAGGTAGAGATGGTAATAAAGTGATTTAAGGTAGGTAAAACATTATGTTTTGGAGGTAGCTCATGATTTGGAGTGGCATGACATTGCTGGTCATCTAAAATGGTGCTGGTATACTATTGCTCTACAGAAGCCAAAATTATGCAGGGCAGCACTTTGAGTACCAAAGTACACCTATCCCAGCTTAAAATTGTAAATCCATGTATTAGTCTGAAACAGAAGAGTTACCTGTAATAAAGTTATTATCTTTGTGTACTAAGTTTGATGGTAGAATCTGATAACTGCGAACTACAGAACTTTTTAAAAGCAATGTGATAGCTTTAACTATAGCAAGACAGTAATTTCTAGGCCCTATTCAGTACATTTTTCATTAGCCAGTTTCTAGGTAAGCAGGGCACTATGCAATTGTGGGCTTTCGCGCTGAGTTTTCTATCTTAAATGGTGCAGGGTTTGGGTTCAATATATGTTAGAAACCAATGCAGATTCCTGTTAAAAAGTATTCAGTTTGTTGTTAAAATATACTTAACTGCTGAGGTGCAAGAATTCTTGTGTAAGTGATTGTGGTGTCTTCTTCAGATTCCCCATCACCCCAGGAATAGAATCAGAGAGTTGAAAGAGACTACAAACCCTTTCCATGTGCAAGCTATGAATTGGAATGCTGTATAATTCTGTATACTAAAGTATCTGTTCCTTGCTGGATCAGATCTAAGATACAGCTGATCAAGCTCGGTACCTTGAGTTCTGTTCACATGGCTCTTGAAAGTTTGCAGGCAGAATATGATGATAATAGCCATAACATGTTTTGTATCTTATCTGATGTTGAGGGGAAGTGCCTTTGAGCATAAATGTTTCCTGTAGCAGTCACGGATAACTGGCATTGATGGGCTTCTATCTTAAACTTTTTAATGTTTTACTATCATTTTGGGATATTTGAAGGTGATAGAGTAAGTATCTGGGTATGTCTTCAAGTAACAAATGTGCTTTCACTTGACATTTAGGGTTAGGGTTGCTCCTTATTTGTATTTTTCTTTTTTCCTCTCACTCCCGCTTCCCCCTCCCTTCTTAGAACTACCCACAACATTTTATCCTCTATGTAGAATCAGAGTTGATTTGATTTGATTTAAATAATAATTCAAATCATAATTTAAATAATTTCTCTGAAGGATTTATTTTTAATTAAGTAAATTGGGATTTATCACCAGAAAGGAAAATGCATTTAATTAGCATTTTTGGTAGAATGCATTGTTGTTTCATATAACTTTAATACATATCTAAAGATGTAGGTTTCAAAGATAGCACAACGGGGTAGCACAACGGTTCTAATGTGTTTTACATGAATTTTTAATCTATCAAAAAAGAAGCTCTTGAATTTAGATACAGGCTGTTCCTCCCTGTTTAGATCTACTCCATCTACAATGGGGAAAAAGTTGGAAAGGGAAAGATCCTGTGCTTCATGTATATTATCTGAAGAATAAAACAGATCAATTTATTGCCCATCCCTACAAATTGCTGTTAACGTGCTCATAGAATATAATTAGAAGTGGCACAATTACTACTTGTGCTTGTATCTTTTTAACTTATTGAAGAACATTTTGAAAGCTGATTTAACTAAACAGTTCAATTCAAATAGAAATTGTAATCTAACTGTTTAAAAAGCATTTATATATATTTTTTAAATGTCATTGATTAGTGTACACCCTTGGGCAGTGAGAATTGCAGTCCAAAACATCGGGAGCCACAAAAATATCTGAAAATATCTGGAAGATCTAGAGAATGTTCTTTCTTTAGATCTGATTTTTCCAAATACTCCTTTCTTAAAATGTGAAGAAAATGTCAAAAACTTCTTGAAATTGCCACCTTATCTTGTGAGTTCTGCCTGTGAGAATAAAAGAGCCATGTTAAGCATCAACTTTTCTTTTATGAGAGCATTGATATAGAATTGGAAGGGCAACTGATTGATTTTTCTACTTTCAGTGAACAATGGTTTATAGCTCAATAAGTTATTGTCTATCAGTTATGCAAACTTCTTCAGATATACAATGGAACCTTTTTAAGAAAGCCATTTGGGGGGGGGGGGCAGGGTCAACATTCATTAGGTATCTATGTAAGCAACTTAGGCATATCTTTGTTTTGTCCCTTTAGGGAAGGGCAGTTTTCTGTTAACTTTTCCTTAATGTAGTGATAGTGGCTAGAAGTGTATAGTTGTTAATTTGTTGTATGACAAGAGATGTGATTTGACTCGAGCTCCAACAAAATCTTTTTTTTAATCAACAGGGGAAAGTTCATCTTGAATTAAAACTGAATGAACTAATTACAGATAATGGATCAGTATGCCAGCAGCTAGTAGTACAGTAAGATCATTTCTCCATACTCATTCGCCTTATGCTTCCTTATGAAAATTGCAAAATGTGATTAAAACTGTTAGTGAAATTTTGGAAAATGTATCTTCAAGATGCTCAACAAAAAATTTCACAAATGTTTCTTGGCTGATTATTTATTTATGTGACCTTGGTAGTGCATAAAGTTTAGTTTTGTGGATAAGTCTCTCTCTTCCAGTAGCCCTCCTCATAATACACTTTTTCCAAACGTTCATATTGATTTTTCTGATTTTTTTCGAGTACTTTAAACAACCAAGCTGCATCCATCTACCAGTAGTCTTCCTGCCAGTGCTTCCCTGCTGTCACATAACAAACCTCATCTTGTTGAGAAGCTCTATCAGGGAAGAGCTTCAGCAAGCAAGAGAAACTGTATTTGCTTTATCATTGAAGTGTGAATAGTTGGCATGCTTAGGATTGCTTAGCTAAATCCATTTATTAGTCCTAACTAAAATGGATGCATTGACTCTCAAGGGGGGAGGGCAGGCTAAGCTCCCATTGATTCAAGGGGGCTTTTCTACTTGGGGGTAACAATTGGATTTTGGCTGCTGTTTCCTGCCAAGATTAAGGGGATTTTGCACTTTCCTTTAACTGAAACTTAGTATAATTGAGATTGGGAGGCATACAGTTTGACAAGAATCTTCCTTGATTATCATAGTTTAATGCTTTAAAGACCTTATCTATAACCCCCCCCCCACACACACACACACACACACAATCACTCCATGTATTTGCATGTATCCACAGGGCTCAAAATTGGTTCATACTTGGCATATGTTCATTGTAGGCTTACTGAACAATGGAATCTCATTTACTAAACTTGCCCCATCTATTATTATTATTATTATTACTACTACTACTGCGACTACTACTACTATTATTAACTTTATTTATACTCCGCCTTTCTCCCTGTGGGGATTCAAGGCAGCTAACACTCTCACACTTAGTCAAGTGGCCTACTTTGAAGACTAACTTCAATTTGTGCAAAACAAAAATAGCAAGGTGGCTTTTTGGCATATTATTTGGATTTATTACTCCCAACACTGTGTCGAATTCCCTGGTTATTAGCTAGTTCAATTTATAGAGTTAACTCTTACATTTGAAGCCCTAAATGATGCGAGACAAGACTACCTGAAGGAGCCCCTCCTTCCATAAATTCTACCCATAACTAAAAAACTCTTCAAAGTGCCTTCTCTGCATGCCACTGCCCATAGAAGTCTGCCAAGAGTAGAGCTTTCTTAGTAGTGATCTCAGTCTGGAGAATGCCTTCCCTTGGGACATCTGTCTAGTTTCCTCATTACATATATTGATGTATGTGGAATATCTTTTGTCTTGGGTTGGCATCAAAGTTAAATTTCATTGCAGCACCAAGTTAGGAGCTAATAATTTATCCAAATCTACACCTATGCTTTATACTGTATAAACTTTTTAAATTTTGAAATTATTTTGTGTAATATATTTTAGATTATTTAAATGACATAAATGTTTTAACAGATGAAATATATACTAAGAGGAAAATACCATCTTGTTCTGGAAGGTTTTTAGTCATTTTTTTGATTTTGTTATTTTGGTTTAATTATGTCTTTCAACATCCTATTTTGATTCTAAATACACATATTTGTTATGATTGGGTTTGGTGTCTGATTTTTATGTTTGTGAATTTCTCTCGTGACATAAGCCAGTTGGGCTGTACATGTATCTGACTGTACAGGCAAACCATTTTTGTTGGAGAAAATAGTCATGAGCCCCCACCTTAAATAAAAGGATAGCAACACATATTTCCTCTCTTAGCAGTAAAATAGCCACAAAATAAAACACAAATACACTGGTGGTTAAACCACTGAGCTGCTGAACTTGCTGACCAAAAGGTTGGGGGCTCGAATGCAGAGAGTGGGGTGAGCTCTCGCTGTTAGCTCCAACTTCTGCCAACCTAGCAGTTCAAAAACATGCAAATGTGAGTAGATCAATAAGTACCTTCTGCGGGAAGATAACAGCGCTCTATGCAGTTATGACAGCCACATGACCTTGGAGGTGTCTATGGACAATGCTGGCTCTTCAGCTTAGAAATGGAGATGAGCCCCAGAGTCTAGACTTAATGTCAGGAGAAATCCTTACCTTTACCTTACATAACGTGCTGCATATTCTATCCAAGAGAAACTTTGCTTTGTAGGATACACTATATCCATAGCATTTGAAATTGCTTGTTCTTCATTTTTTTAAAAAGCCAGTTTAACTGGAAGAAGGAGGGACCAACCACTTTTACTCTTACCAATCCCCATTGACATACTAATAGGAGGAAAAACTAGCAGAAACCAGACAATGACCATTCAAAGAAAAAAAAGTAATTAAGCTTTGTGAAATGCTGAGCAATTACAGCTGTTTCACAGTATGTCAGACATTCTCTTTTTGCATTCACAGGAAGGACGCAGTGCCTTTAGGACAAAGATTAATTAATACCACTTAAATCACAGGATATAGAAGGCAGGCAGCCTCATACAAACACACTATTTTAAAGAGAGAAAGTAGGTCAGTAGAGAGTTCATTGATTGAACTTTGTAAATTCAAATGATTACAAATTATATCACACATGGGATAACATTTAAAATCTTTTTCTAATAATTCACAAAGCTATAGAAATTCTTTTGTATAAGAAAAATGAGGGCAACTTGTAGTTATAGTTTTATAACTGATGGCATGCATCAAATTTAACTCTCTGAAAACCCTGTACACAGTGCAATTTGAACATATAGGCCTGTTATCTGTAGAAATATAATTTGTCAGTTCTTGTGGGTTTTTTCGGGCTACATGGCCATGTTCTAGAGGCATTTCTACTGACGTTTCACCTGCATCTATGGCAAGCATCCTCAGAGGTGAGGTCACCTCTGACCTCACCTCTGAGGATGCTTGCCATAGATGCAGGCGAAACGTCAGGAGAAATGCCTCTAGAGCATGGCCATATAGCCCGAAAAAACCCACAAGAACTGAGTGATTCCAGCCATGAAAGCCTTCGACAATAAATATAATTTGTTTTACCTGATGAGCAGTGCCAGCATTACCATTCTATTTTTGGTACTGGGCTAGCATGAGACCCAATCCCTGATCATTGCTTGTCTAATATGTTTATTTACTTAGCAAGTCAAAAGATGAGCCAGCAAATGATTCCACTTTTTTTGTTTCTATTCTAAGCATATTGGGAAATTGTTTTGAGCAGTGCTAAAGTTCATGAAGCTCTTAAGTCTGAGGCCTTAGGTGCATGATATGTCAGTAGATCTCAGAACAGCCGTTATTTTTTTCATGTTTCTCCATTGTGTAGTGATAAGTCTTGCAAAGTGAATTTTTCTGATAACATAGCAGTAATATTGAATAAGTGCAGGAAGACTCACTGGTTTTCAACATTGAGTCATACCAGATGCTGCCATATTGTCTTGATGGGCAATGGAAAAATAACAATTGGGCTTCTGATCTCTGTGAAAAATGTAAGAAATAATCTAACCTAAATTTTCAACTATTGCAAGGAAAATTACAAATGAAAGCAACTGTTTCTATACACTTGATTTGGTTACTACTGGGAGTTCATTAGAACAAATGTAAGGAAATTTAAAAATGGGGTCTCCCACAAATAATCTGTCTTTAGCTATTAGGCTTAGAATATTTAAAATTTTCTAAATATTCTGTTCTGGATGAATTTCCATTTCATTTTTGATTTCTTTCTCTTTTAATTCTAGATTGAAGGAATGTCATGGTCTACCTCTTATCAATGGACAAAATTGTGACCCATATGCTACTGTATCTGTTGTGGGTCCCTCAAGGTAATAGTTCAAAATGTATTGTAGCAACCTATAACACAGCAAAATGAAACTGCATTAGTATTGTTTGTAATAATGCTAATTTGGATGTAAATCTAGTTGTTACTCCAGTTAGAATAGGCCAATTGAATTAGTTGCTGAATGGTAAATTATTAGTTTAAATCATTTTGTTAAATCACAGTAAATTATCTGCTTTGCCATCAAATCATTGATGGCACAGTTGGCCATTAATATCCATGGAGTCAACCAAATACAATCTGGGAGCATTAAAAAAATCCAAAAGCAAATCTTAATGTTGCCATTTTATATAAGGGACACCATTTATATAATGGGACTTTAACATCCATGGATTTTGTTATGGGGGGCACCTAGGTTATGCTTACCATCAAAGCAAAGATGGCACTATCTCAGCCACTAATGTTGGCAATTTTGAAGTGTTTCAGAATTCTGCATCATGAATGCTCAGTCTGCAGTTATAAAACTACTGTAATTGTTACCCACAGTTACAAATAGGCCTTGGTAGGGCCAAAAAATATGGTACTAACACAGCTTGAGAGAATGTCAGATATTTTCCTGACACAGTGTCTTACTTACAGTTCAGTGTAATACATACATTCTATATCAGTTTTTTAAGATTATGTAAGAAAAGTTACATGTAGCTTTTTGGTTTCACAATGTTAGTCACTTAAAATATAATTTAATTTTTTTGCTATGTTAAGCAATTGTTGTTTGAAGTAGTTCTAGGTGGTGTACAAAATCCCTCCTGCACCCCATTGTTCTAAAAACAAGCCAGTGAAATAGTCTTTTAGTTAACCAGAACTCTCAAGTAATCGGCAGGTAAAATTGATGAAATACGTTACATTAAAATTAAAATGCATATATAATACAGTAAAACTGTTGTAAATTAAGTTAAGCTCATTTTCAGTTGGTTTTGAATTACTGTATTTCAATATTAACATCAAGCTTATGGTATGGTATAGTATGGGGTGTAGTATTAGGCCTCTTTTAATAGTAAATCTCAAGCAGCCAGAAACTACAATTGTCTGGCAGCTACCAAGGCCCATGGGTGCCAGTTAACTGTGAATCTACGGTATAGAAACATCCATTTTGCATTCAGATACCTAGCTGTTCTAATGATATAGCACTCACTTAGAGTTCATTAGAGCTACATAAATTCAAATAATCAGTAATACCAAAATTACCTTTCCTTCTGAAGATGGGTCTTTCATTAAAAATATTTAATGATGCTTTTGTTCATATCAATATAATATTTTTGTAATTGTATGTTTAAAGTTCTGTATGGTAAAACTGTACCATGTTAAAACAGGAATGATCAAAAGAAGACAAAAGTAAAGAAGAAAACAAGCAATCCACAATTTAATGAAACATTTTATTTCGAGGTAACTAATTTTCTATCAGAATAACTTGTTGGTGTGGTGCCTCTTAATTTATGCTGTTAAGTTTCAAATTTGTTAGTTACCTGTGAAGGAATTCTTGAAGAAGTTAAAATCAGTGAATGTGGGGTGTCCTACAGGGAAGTTTACATAGGGAAAATCAAACTCCTTAACACCCAGAAAAGATGGGGAAATAGGAGAAAGGGAGATGGCAAAGGATAGATATGAACAAAATGATAGAAATGGATTAAACCCAAAGCCTCATGAAGAAGTGGGATCTGATTAGATTTTTTTTTCAAGAGAAAAGAGAGCTCCTGGTGTAAAATGTAGCTTTGTACATCTTGGAAAATTATTTTTAATTCAATGTTGATTCTTTTTCTAGTAAATGGGTAGTATTGCAAAAGCATGGACTTCAGACTTCAAACTGTGGGCTAAATGAGTCATATGAAAGGAGAAAGAAATTACTTTGCAGGTTTTATTTACAGGTAACCAGATCCAGTAGTTACACCAAAAAGTCACAGTTTCAGGTAGAAGAAGAAGACATTGAAAAGTTGGAAGTCAGGTATGCTTTTTGGAATATTATTGCTATTAGTACACTGTTACTGTTTCCATGGAAACAAGTGAAGTTAGAAAACTAAGAAGGTACCATGAACACAGGCCATTTAATGCAGTTTGAAGCTAGCTTCAAACTGATGGCCAGACAACAAAAGTGAGATTTTAATGTGCATCAGTGCTCTGTGGTTTGCGTAATAACTATCCAGGCCTCAAACTGGTTCTGGAATATCATCTGTAATCATCTGCACAGCAAATCACTTGTCCTTAGTACCAACTTGAAACTGCATTAAATTAAGTAGTTAGTGTAGATGGAGTCCCAATGGTTTCTTAAAAACTGTCAAGATACAGAATCTCCAACTCGGGTAAGGGTTTTAGTGTAAAATTAAAGCCAATTTAAACTTACCTCCAAAACATCAAATCTTTAATGGTTCAGTGTAGTCTCAGTACTTACTTTACATCGCAATTCTAGTGTAATAAACATTTATTTGACTTTTTAAAATATACTTCTTTTTATACACATTTAGAAAAACAAACTTTTATTCCTGTCTTAATTTTATTAAATTGGATGGCACCTTGTCTGTATAATGTTATGATTAGTTTAGGGTTGCCACACTTTCTTCCATGTTGCCTTGACGTTGGACAGAGATGACAATCTGTCGCTCCTTTAAATGTCGACTGCAACTGCCCGCAGCCATAGCCATCACAGCTAATGATGAAGAATGCTGAAAGCTGCAGTCTAGAGATGTGCTCTATGGGAAAACATACAAGTACCTGGGACTGGAACTATAAGGAGGAGATAGATATGAACCCCACTACTCATCCTACTGGAATCATGGGAGACATTCAAACTGTGATTTGAATAGCTAGCTACTAGTAAGGAGTATCTTATGTTATAATATGACTTCAACTAAACTTTACTGGTAGATAGTCTGGAACATATGACTTCATATCACAATAAGTGTATCTTGTAGAAGGCAAAGGGGGACATTGGTTACACCAAAACACAATGGATTTTATTTTTCTTCTTCTTAATATATGTGCTGTCTTAACAGAAATATCAGTGAGGTAAGACTCAGCAACCCAGAGTGCATGCATTTGGGACTTTTATAGCTTTATAGGTTGTGAGAACTTGAACAGTTTTTGCTAAAAATAAAAATCAGTGCATGTGTCATTGAAGTGTCAGAGTTGAGTCAGAATAAGCAATAAAATTGGAGTATAATAAAAGCTAAAATGAGTGGGAAATGCTTGAGTAGAAAATGGTAATGTCACTTACTCCTTTCTTTGAGTACCACAGTCCCATCCAGTATTGTTTTTATCTTGCTGATACAGACTCACTATGCTGACATGTCCATGGTTGCTTATTACAGAAATAAGACATTTTCTTTCTCTTAATTTAAAGAAATTCTTGAGAGTGAGATTATAACCTTGTGTGTTTGCATGCTGAGTTGGTGTGATGCTCTTCATGATGACATTAAATTAGATAACTTCTCTTTAAAGTTAGGTCAATGTTGAGCATGATGCTTAGAGTGACAAATTATTATTTAACTTTCAGAGTTGACTTATGGAACAATGGTAATTTGGTGCAGGATCTCTTCTTAGGAGAAATTAGGATTCCTGTCAAGGTATTAGGAAGTGATTCCTTCCAAGCATGGTAAGAAATGAAACAAAAGGCAGCTTGTCACAAATTATAGATGTTGTTTCATGCATTATATTATAAGAGTGGTAACAAAGAACCAAGGAGTCGCATGGCCAGTTGTTTCCTTCATACTGCCGCAAGTTTAGACAGCTCATTCTGTTTTTCAGTTACATCTGTTGATTCCAATACACCTGGCACATACTCTGGTGGTTCATCTCATTGACAATGATTATTTTTAAAAAATCACAAACAACAATTGTTGTTTAAAAAACAACATTTTTAAAAATCACAAACAACTTCACAATTAATTTAATGCAATAGTAAGCCTAATCTTTGCAAAAGACCAAAGGGAGCAGAATGCCTTGAGAAAGCCCCATGGGCATAACAGTGCAGCCAGGACATTTCAGAGGCAAGAAACAGCCTCCTCCAAAGATGCCAGCCACAGATGCAGGCGAAACGTCAGGAGAAAATTCTGCTAAAACGTGGCCATACGGCCCGGAAACCACACAACATCCCAGTCTTGGGTATGCTAGATTCAATGACCATTTCCCCAGATACTGAATTGGTAGAGATATTTTCCTTTTCTTGACTAAATTGTCAAGTTTAAAGTTCAGGAACCTTCCATCATCAGTTTTGGAAGCCAGCAGATGTTGTATAGTACATTAAAAACTAGCTAGTGAACAATCAGAAGACTGCACTCTATTGTCTTCTGCAGCTGTCCTTTAGTTTACAGCAGAAATATATGCCAGATATGGTTGTTTCCTGCTTTTCTTTTGTATCAGTTAAAACTATTAGTATATTGGTATTTTTCTTCCATTACAACTCAATTCAGTCTGTAAACATGGTAATGTTTAAAATGAATCAAATAAACTTGGATGTATTTAGTTACTAATTACAAATCATAGAATCATATAGTTGGAAGAGACCTTGTAAGCCATTCAGTCTAACCCCCTGCCAAGAAGCAGGATAATTGCATTCAAAGCACCCCTGACAGATGGCCATCCAGCCTCAGTTTAAAAGCTTCCAAAGAAGGAGTTTCCACTACACTCTGGGGCAGAGAGCTCCACTGCTGAACAGCTCACACAGTGAGGAAGTTCTTCCTAATGTTCAGGTGGAATCTCCTTTCCTGTAGTTTGAAGTCTAAATTGATTTCTCTGTTAAGTTATGTGAGTTAAAGCTTTTTTTCATTCTAGACCTACATTTATTTGGTATTTTGCAAATGGAATATCACTTTATATCACGAATGTTAAACTTCCATTTACTTTTTTTTAAGGTACCTTCTTCAACCAAGGGAGAATGGGAATAAATCTACTAAAATTGATGATCATGGATCACTCAGACTAAACATATGTTATGCTGAAGATCATGTCCTTCCATCAGAGTACTATGTTTCCCTCAGAGACTTGCTGCTAAAGTCATCAGATGTGGAGGTAGTTCTGTTGTGGGTTTGAACTTGGGATACTTTTACATTTAACATTCCAGTTTGATATAACTGATATTTATTTTGGTCATATCTTCCCTTTCTGTAGCCCATTTCTGCCTCTACTGCTTACATCTTGGCTGAAGTGTGTCGTGATAAATATGATGCCATTTTGCCTCTTGTGAGAGTGTTACTACATCATCATACACTAGTACAATTTGTCACTGCAGTGGCAGAATTAGAATTGAAGGATACTCAGTAAGTGCATTTTTTTTCTCTTCCCTCTTTGTCTCTGCCGTATATGTCCATCTATTGCCAAATATATATGCATAAAAAACTTCTCTTACCCATTTTTCTTTGAAATTATTTTTCTCAGACATTATTAAAAATATTTCATCTTTTCAGTCTAGATCAGGCATGGAAAAACTTCAGCCCTCCAGATGTTTTGGTGTCCGAAACACCCGGAGGCCGAAGTTTGCCCATGTCTGGTCTAGATGCTTTAACCAGAAACATAGAACAAGTAATTTAAAATTCCTGTGCTAGTCTGAAATGTATCATGGGTCTTTATACTGACCTATTACAATTTGCATGTTTTAAAAAGTTTGCCAAGATCCTTTGATAACCAGATTCTGGTAAAGTGGAGAGAACTCACTCTGGGCTCTCAACACACAATGAATATCAGATAAGATTAAAAATAAGACTTTGTACCCGTTTCTTGTGGGAGAGAAGGTCATGGTAAGAACAAATTTTGATAGCTATTAAGATTAGCCAATTTTTTAATGGACCTTGGTATTATTATCCACTTACTCTTCATCACTAACCGGTTATTTTAATGGTTATTAGAATTACTCATTTTAATTTTGAAGAAATAAAAAGCAATTGAAACAGCATCCCAACTATTGGAAAAACAGCCCCCTTTTTGCCCTCCCCCATGCGCTAAAACACACTCTATTGGTCATAAGAGACATTTTGCCACTTTTGAGCGGAGGAGGAGCCTTGAGCCATTTTAGACCCCAAAGAAGCTTTTTGGAAAACAGTAAGCAAACAGGACGTCTTTTCACCTAAATTGTTTGTGGGGAGGTAAAAATATAGCAGAAATTCCCCCCAGGCATCCTAGAGGGCATTTGAGGGCCAAATTATGATGATGATGATGATGATGATTATTATTATTATTTGCAGAGCGTGTGGGGCTTATCCAGCTCCTCTCATAATGTTACAAATTACTTTTGAGTGTAAGAACTAAGTTTAAAAGCGAGACTTGATATATTCTCTGCTACATTTTTGATGCTAGCATTACAGTAGTTCAACTATTATCTACAAATTACACTATGTAACAAGATTTTTGTCCCTGGGTTATAAATGTCATTTCCGAATTGGTGCTATCATAAAACATGGAAAAGTTGATTAAATTGCAAAAACTTTGTTTTTGCAGGACATTGTGCTATAGTTTTTCAATAAGTATCTGATGGAGTCTCAACTAATCCAGCATAGTTGGTGGCAGCCACAAAAACAAAGTTTCTGGAGCATAACTGCTTTCAAAGTAATTACCACACAATTAAACAAGAAATAACACTTTCAAATCAAGAACAGTTTTTTTTACATAGTGTTATCAATCAAGCAAACTAGTATAGGAACATGTGTTTGAAAGAAAGTTCTGTGATTAGAGTTCTGATCTATGTATACTTCAAAACGTTCTTCTTAATAATTAGATTATATTGATTAACATGTAGTATTTATGATGGGGGCCCCGTTGGTGCAGCGGGTTAAACCAATGAGCTGCTGAACTTGCTGACTGAAAGGTCTATGGTTCAAGTCTGGGGAGCGAGGTGAGCTCCTGCTGTTAGGCCCAGCTTCTGTCAACCTAGCAGTTTGAAAACATGCAGATGTGAGTAGATCAATAGGTACCACTCCAGGGGGAAGGTAATGGCACTCCATGTAGTCATGACTGCCACATGACCTTGGAGGCGTCTACAGACAACGCCAGCTCTTCAACTTAGAAATTGAGATGAGCACCACCCTCAGAGTCAGACACAACTAGACTTAATGTCAAGAGGAAACTTTTACCTTTACTTTATAGTATAGTAAATTTGATTCCTACATATATTTGTGAAAGGTGACATGAACAAAACCAACTCCTTTTAATGTGGTGCCAGAGGAGAGTTCTGTGGCCACTATGACCTGCCAAAATGACCAATAAATGATGCAAATCAAGCCCAAACTCTGTGTAGAACTAAACTGAGGCAATCATAGTTTGGAATGTAATGAGACAAGGCTCTGTAGAAAAGGCCATAATGTTTTGCAAAGTAGAAAGCAGTAGAAAAAGAGGAAGCCTGCATTTCAGAAGGGTAAACTCAATAGAGGAAACTAGAGCCCTGAGTTTGCAAAATTTTGACAGGCCTTTCAGTAAGTGTCTGGAAATGTTTCTCAGTTATGAGTTACCATTTGTTGAATCTCACTTGGTGGCAGTTCACCACGAATGCTATTTTGATTTGTCAACTTGAGTAGAATAGTTCTATTTTTAGGGCAGAATTTTTACTTGTCGTTCATCTTAGAAATAATTTGACGTTGATAACTATCTAGGCATCTAGTAGACATGGATATACTTTTACCATTAGAGCTCAGACTATTTTAACCATAATACAGTTGTAAGTAGGAAGACAACCCAGTTTCCTGCATGCTCTCTGTGCATAAACAAAGCAAATATCTTTTGTTTATGATTAATACATTCCTTCTGTTCAGAATCTTCAGTTTTCTTGTGTTGTATTGCAGAGAGGCAAATACAATCTTCCGAGGAAACTCCTTAACTACTCGATGCCTCGATGAGATGATGAAAATTGTTGGAAAGCACTACTTGAAAGTTACTTTAAAACCAATTCTAGATGAGGTATAGTAATATAATTCATAAAAACTCTTTGGATATGTTGAAAAAAATGCTGGAAAAAAATCCAAACTGCTTATAAAAACATGATAATACACGAGAATGAAAACTCATTTGTGTCATACTTAAAATGGCTCTGTTTCTGTCCAGAGACCCGATATGCCAGTATGGAAGCTGCAATATGCCAGTATGGAAGATGCATTCATATTTAGAATATGAAAATCATTCTATCACTAAGTTTTAATTTGTAAAAGGTGTGAAAATGCTGTAGCATGTATTATTACCAATCTGTATATTGGATAATCACATTCCATAATCTGTTAAGTATAAGGGCTCAATATGTTTCCAAAGTCTGAGGACCAGAATCTTTATAGTATAATAGTACTTACACAAACACCATTGTTTTCCTTTTCTTTTAGCCTCTTATAAAATTACCACTATGTCTCATTTCTTTCTATTTAGATTAGCTGCACATTTTCCCTTCTTTCTATCACTTCTTACCAGCTATATATTATCTGGCAAAATCAGTGTAAAAGAAGAAAAGTGCTTCTCAATTACCTCTGCTATAAGTATGGGGAACAGTGCTTATAGCAATATTCCCCTGTGTTTCCTCAGCATTTAGATTATTTTTATGTATTAGGTACAAACTTGATTGTACTTTACTTCACACAAGACTTACTCTTGTTTTAGATATGTGAAAATCCTAAACCTTGTGAAATTGATCCTTTGAAACTGAGAGAAGGAGATAATGTAGAAGTACACAAGGTAAGCTTTGCGGTGTTGTCCAATGCATATTTGAGGGACATTTCAGTAATTACTGTCAGAAATATTTAAAATTAACTAGGTATTTTTAATTACAAAAATGTGAGTCAAGCACCAAAAGAGTTAAATGCATGCAATGACTCAGCAAAAGCTGCAATTCAATTTAAGCAGGTGTGCCTATAGCTTAGTAGGCCTCAGTGTTAGTTGGCCTCAGTAGGAGAAGGCCCTAGGTTGATGTGTGTAAAGCTGCTGTGTGAAACTCTTGTATAATTTTGGTGTGAAAAAAGCTCTGTGAGAGCAAAACTAGAAGCTGTTTATCTGCATGAGAAAGAAGTATAAGGAACTTCATTTGTGTTATGGAAATCTTGTTTTTGTAAATAGTGCAACTATATTATTTTACTACAAAGAAAAGCCTCCTATGGAAGAGATAACATTGGTCTGTGTGTTTGTTCTTTTTATCACTTTGGGCTACTGGTGCTGCATCATGCTGCTGATAGCAAGTTACTCTGCTATACATTCATGGGGAGGGTCTTTTATTAATAAGTCTACTCACCCAACAATTACACATAATGAACTCTTTGGCATTGTAACAGTGACCACACTATAATTTCAACCACAAGGAAAGAATTGAAACCTATTTTCTTCCACTTGTGAAATCTCCTTTCATACACCAATATTGTCTACTTTTCAATATCATTCATTAGAGGTCAGATTGAACTTGAAACTACTGTAGAGCAATATAGAATATTGATCATGCTCCTTACGTACTGATGATCAAATGCTGGATCTGCAATACTTCTATCTGGCCTTGGCAGTTACTACTAATATGGAAATATTAGTGATCTGTGATAGAGGTAAAATGGAGTGTTAGAAAAGAGAAATAATTCTATGTCAGTTTGATGTTTTGAACAAGACCATGTTAAAGGTTTTCTCGGTGACCTTATCATTAAAACTGTGAGAAATCGAACTCTTTATATTTTAATATGAAAGGCTTGATTATTTGAAATCATTTGTTTGTATTACAGGAAAACCTGCGCTGCTATGTTGACAAAGTATTCAAGACTGTTGTACAATCAAGTATAAGTTGCCCTACATTGATGTGTGATGTGTTTTGTTCCCTGAGGCGCTTGGCTGCTGAAAGATTCCCTAGTAAGTATGTCAAGATTTTGGAGGTGGAGGGGTGGGGGAATCTTAACATACGACCTGATTAAAGTCTCTCTGAAGTCCATGAAGATGTCACCTGACAAAAAAAGATCATAAGTAACTGAAATGGCAGGATCAGCAGCTTAATATTATTTGATGGATTTGTAGAGGTTATTGTAAATATGTGCACAAACATACATTCATTAAATGACTGTTTCACATGATCAGAGCTGCACACCTATTACTTCATATAGCGCAGTGCCAAATAAAAAAGGCAAAATAATTTCAGATGATTCTGTAAAATGTTAGTAATAAAAGTAATAGCCATGTATCTGTCACTTTTACATACAACTGTTTGAATTTCTAAGTAGGAGGTATTTCCATAGAGAGCACACATCTCTATGCTTTAAAAATAGAATTACGTTTTCTATAGAAAATTGGTTATACTTTGGAAAAGCAACAGTATTTATATTACATTTAGCATCACCTGTAATAACAGCATATAGGCTGTAATTTAGGGTTACATGAACAAAGCCTTGAATCCTTCCGATCCAACCTAAAACATGGATTTTTAAGCAGGCTTTTGGCCTCAAGTAAGCTGAAATGGGTCCATATGAGGTTGACACTCTGGCACTTTAGTTTGAATTGATGGTAGCTAGTTTTAACTACTGATGGTTTTGCATTTTAAATTCTGTTATTTTATTTTTTTATGTGTTGATAGTGGTTGTTTTATAATTTTTTATGTGATACTGTTTTGTACTCATGTATCGTTTATGCTCTGCAGTATCTTGTAAGCCGCCCGAGTTCCTTTTGGGAGATGGTGGTGGGATATAAATAATGAGGATGATGATGATTATTATTATTATACGGTTCAGGTTGACCCTATTTACGCGACCACTTCTCTCTCTTTGAACCTATCCGGGCCTTAAGATCTGCCAAAGAGGCCCTTCTCTCAGTCCCACCTCCGTCACAAGTGCAGTTAGAGTGGATGAGGGAGAGGGCCTTCTCGATCATGACCCCCCAGCTCAGTAACGCCTTCCCCAGGGAGATCAGGCATGCCCCCTACACTTTCAACATTCGGAAGGAATTGAAAACCTGTATTTATAAACAGGCTTTTGATAATGGTTAAACAAAATAATACACAACAGTTGGAGGATTTAAATGGAATTAATTTTCTTAACTGTACTTCATTTGTTCCATCAACCAGAGCAGTGGCTGAGATATTTTAATTGCTTTTATATAATACAATCCCTGTTTATTTATGGATGATGGTTGTGTTGATTAAATATGTTTTGGTTCACTTCATATTGATTTTGTGTTGTTACTTTTGTTAATTTAATTTAAATTTGTTATTTGTTTTATTATTTATCATTTGTATTATTCACATTGCTGTAAGTCGCTCCAAGTCCCTTCAGGGAGATGGGATGGGATATAAATAAAGTATTATTATTATTATTATTATTATTATTATTATTATTATTTTCCAGTTGTGAGCTTCCTGCTCACTTCCTCTATGAGACTGAAAGAGGTTTTTTTCTGTGTTAAATTAATCTAAGTTTATTGTTGTGTCCAAACCTGGCAAACAGTGCTTATCTTTAACTGTGGTTAGAGAAGGTATGCAAATTGTGGTCCTTCAGGTATTGTTGGGTTAATGCTCACAATAGTCTTAGCCAGCATAGCCAGCTGTAGAGAATGAAGGGAGTAGAAATCTGTAACCACACTTCATCACCTTGGTTTAGAGAAACCCATACTGAACTGTGGTTATCTCCCTGGCTTATTTCCTTAAACCTGGGTTAAGATTGTTTAGTAAGCAATGATTCATTAAAACAAAAACTTTAAATACCACACAGCTGTACTGGAGCTGGGAAAGAAGATTGTACAAAGCCAAAGCGTTAGCCTTTAACTTGAAACTGTAGGTGAATATTCCATTGGAACAGATTTGTGTGAAGTGATTTTGGTCTGTGGCTCATAACCCATAACAAAACATCTTGCATCATAACTACACTTCCATTTCATGCTACTTGCTAGTTCTCTATTCTGCAAAAGAAGAGAAGCCCTTTTCCTACTGACTTCATTCTGCTAAGGGTTTTCACTGTCTTCACTTCCTACTGAGTTATAATACATTTTACATTATCATGGTTTTTCTCTGCAGATGACCCTCATGTACAGTATTCTGCAGTGAGCAGCTTTGTGTTTCTTCGTTTCTTTGCTGTAGCTGTAGTATCGCCTCATACTTTCCATTTACGACCCCACCATCCAGTAAGTTTTCCTAACATTATGTTCAACCTCTATAGGCCACCTTTGTTAGGAGGATATGTATAGAAATAAGAATAGTGTTTTTACAGCAGAAGGACTGTTGAATTGAGAACTTGGAAACGGTCTGATTTTTTTTAGTTGACTCTAGTGCACTGCCTTAAATTTGCAAGAAATTCTGAACTGTTTCCATGTATAAAAGTACTTAGCAATTAAATAACCTGCATGTGGGGGGAAATCAGGTGTTTAGGTGATTGATATTCTGATGATATCGCACGTACTTGGATGCTTTCCAGCTTAAGGAATCAGGTAGTAGCTTGCTATCCCCCATCTGTGTGAGTCACAGAGCCTACGAAGGAGGAGGACAAGTTGCTTACCTCTAACTGTGATTCTTAGAGTCGTCATCTGTGAACTGGCCATCCTCCCCTTGCTGTAACCATTCTGGGAACTAAGGGACTGGGTGAGAAATACACTGGTATGGCACACAGGGAGGGGACAGGATGACTGTCAAAACATTTATATAAAATCTGAAGGTTTTGAGTGATGTGCTGCAGAAGTACAAATAAATTCATTTGTGTGAGCTCACAATGACCACATGAAAAACTACAATTTGTTACCTGTAAAAAATTGGAATAACAGGTAAGCAACTTGCCTTTATTGTTTCCCCGGAATCTACAGGGTTAGTGTCCAATGGCATGGTTCCAAGTTGTGCTATGTACAGCAGTCAACATGTCAGCTTCACACCTTTTCTTACTCAAAAACATGGCTCACTGGCTCTTCTACATGTTCTGGTTTCTTACTCCTGTTGCTTACAGTTATCGGTCAAATTGTTATGAGGCATATTAGTGCAACTACACTGTGGATATAGTCAAAGTATCTGTTGTACCCCATGCCTGGGAACACCTATGACCACAGCACCACGCATGAGTCCAGACTATAAGCAGTTTATTGTAAAAACACATCAAAAGTACAGGGAAAATCAGGAATAAAGAAAGAAGATGTATATCCAAAAAGGTTTAGCAATAAGCAATAATCCAACAGGAATCCAAATGTCTCATACAGATTCAAAGGTAATACAGTCCAGGAATAGCCGAAAATCACAAGAACAGCTTAAGTCCACAAGCAAAAGGTATACTTAGTAAAACTTGACCATGAATACAAAAACAGGAACATAGAAACTTCCAATATACTTGAATCCAAAACCAAAGGCTTGACTTGAAACAGGAACCAGAGAACTCAGGCCTATCTTCTTACTCAAAACACTACACTGCCTGAACTAATTCTTAGGTAAACAACTTGCCAATTAATAGCCACCCATGAAAGTATTTTGTTTCCCATGAATTCTCTCTCCAACTTTCCCATGTAACCTCTCTGGCCTGTGATGCTTATTTTCCGCTTTGATCTGTAAACGAAGACCTTTGTTGATTTCTGTACCTCCAAGGGTTTTTCCTGGGAGCCTTCTGTATCACTTAGTTCTCTGCCCAGCTCCTTATCTAGTTTCTGGCCCCTCTGACTGACCTTGAAGGCCTGCACTTTCCCAGTCAAATTTCTCTGAGAGAAGCATCATTTCCTTGACTTAAATCTTCATTACTTCATGACCCAGGAAATCCCACAGGCAATCCCACAATCCTCTCTAAATCATCAGTGAACCCACCAGCCTCAGGAGCAGCCTCAGGCTGATCTGTACAACGTATCTGTACAACAATAATCTCAAAATAGCAAATGTTCAAATTGATTTTTTTCTTTTTAATTTTTGAAATATATTTCTTATAGCCTCTTGGCTCCAAGACATTAAATATTTGTCAAAGCTGCTTTAAATAATTTTGGGGAACAACTTTTTTTCGCAATTCTTCCCGGTTCTCGGACCAGTATGCTTTTAGTGCTTTTCACTCCTCACTAGCACACAGCATTTGCAAAGTGCTTATCCACTCATTTTAACCTCTTCTCTCAACTATCTTTGCTCACTCTTGGCTTTCATCCTTCTTTTCTTCTCTGGTCATTATTAGCAAGATAAATTTTGTGCCTAGAACTGGCAGTATTGTTTTTAGCTAATTTGTTTAGACACCATTTGGGGATATGACAGTGTGTTTAAGATGTTTAATAATGAAACATTTGTTTCCTTGTTACCTTCAGAGAAGTATAGGAGATTGCCAGGGACTACTAGGTGAAAAGCACCTGTGTGTGCACCTAAACACATAGATGTTCTCTATTAATGGAGGTCTGTAATAGATTTTATGTCATTGAATCCATGACGATCCAGTGCTGTACAATACAACCCTCATATTTAGCAGGGATACATTCCTGGAACCACTGGGGCAATATGAAACCTTGGATAATTATGACACTTATTGAAATGAATGCTTTCCAGCAGAAGCATACTGTAGAGTAATGGTGGTAGATGTGGAAAATGCCTAGAGAAATCACCTCCCTGGGTTTTTCTAAATCCTTTGGCATGTTCTTAGAGATAACACATCTCTACTCATTTTTAGGTCATCCAGTGCAACTCTAGAATTGTGTTGGAGAAGCTACATATCATTTATTTATCTTACTGCCATTTCAGTTAAGTTTAAGTTGAAGGCTTCTGTAAGGCACTGTCGGGTTAAGGTTGTCTGGCCAAGTAGTTAGTAGCTGTATCTCTTCCAGTGTAATCTTTGAATAATAGTTGTGATCCATTTGACTTGATCCTTAGTCTCGTTTAATTATATAACATTGGAATAACCTATTTGTTAAATATTTTAGGATGCACAGACATCAAGAACATTAACACTTATATCAAAAGCCATCCAGACACTGGGGAGCTGGGGAAGTTTGTCCAAAAGCAAACTAGTAAGTGCCTGGCTTTCTCATTTTGTGATTGCTTTATATATCTTCTCTTATGGTTGACTAAGGTATATCACTTTTCTCTCTCCAGTCAAGCTTCAAGGAGACATTTATGTGTGAATTTTTCAAAATGTTTCAGGAAGAGGAATATGTTGAAGCTGTCAAAAAGGTACACAATATATGTATTATTGGGCTTTAAAGTTTTCCCTCCTCTTCCCTAATAAGCTTAGGATGGCAGTGGGGAACTGACAGGGAGATGGGGACTAGTTTGGTTTCCTTTGGCTAGCAGAAAGTCACACAGAACCATTTTTAGTTTATGCCTTTCATCTCAGCTCAGTTTTGAGGGATGAAAAATGCTCCTAAATAACCATGGCACTTTAGAGGAGTTGGCAACCATTTTAGTCCACCCAGAAGTTTACTATTGTGCGGTTTAAAATTTAGGAACTCCTCCCCATCTGAAGTGGGGAGCAGGACCTTTGGGGCTCATGTATAGTTTTGGAGCCTGTAGCCGTACTGCCTTAGGAAGCATTGCATCATTTAATTCACAGAGGTAGTTGAGAGAAGTAGGTAGGGCCATGAGTTGGTGTAATTCTATATTGGTCTTTACACAACATTTGTTTTATAAAAGTTAAATGTAATTTGATGTTTTTAAAAAAATATTTACATCAATTTTGTATCAAAAATGTAGAGAAATGCAGAAAAGAAGTTTGAGTACATTTACCTTTGAATTTACTTTGTCAAACTAGAAATGAATGGCTTTTAAAAAGATACATATTTCAATTTCAAGAACAGTTATTTTAATATGTTCTCCATTTTCAGTTTTTAGACGAAGTGTCATCTAGTGAAAGTAAAGAGCCAAATATCATGAGTGAGCCAGTACATCTGAAAGAAGGGTAACTGAAATGCAAAGTACTGTATATAGATTTGTTATTTTCCTGAATATATTTTGGTAGAGCTCTGTTTGAAGTAATTCTAGTCTTTTGCTTGCCTGGCAGTTTTAAGCAACATTTATTAATTTTAATGTTTGAACTGCATTTAGCATACCTACTTAAACAGCTTTATAATACATTGCTGAAATGAATGACCATTCTATATAGTCTGTCCCTTTCAATTTACTAAAAAATCCATGCATGGAGGAAGCAAGCTTGTTATTAGCTTCACATACCCTCTGTTATCTAGCTGTGAATTGCATAATGAAAGAAAATTTCAATCTTAAGAGTTAACAAAAGTTTCCTTTCATTATTTAAAATTAAGGAGAAAATTTATCGGTATAAACAAGGGCATTTGTTAGTACTGGGAAAGAAAAAGTGTGAAGAAAAATGTTTGCAAATTAAATCTATTTGTGAACTATACACCCATTGTCTTCCTGATTTCTGTAAGGAAGAGCAACAATTGCTAATTAGAGGTAGTCTGAATTTCTACAGCGTCCTTGACTATATACATGTTCAGGAATATACCTGTATGATCACTCTTACTTCTAGTCACCAAATTTAAGCAATTAACAAACATGAGTATTTTGCATTTACTCAAGTCTAATGCACCATAAAATCTAATACACACTTCAATTTTCAAAATCCTGAAACCCAAAAAAGTATTTGCTGCTGAATGTAATGCACAGTAGCAAACAGTGCATTCTTTGTAATTTGGACAAAAAGGTACAGTTGCTTCCCGCTTAGAATTCCTTCTTTAAAAACAAAGGTGTTAGAACACCAAAGCTTCCAGCAATAGAATAGAAAACCAGGTGCTCCTGAAGCAGCTTCCACTTTTGCTTTGGTTCAGCTGTAAGATTTCTATATTTCATGAATCTAATGTGTACCCTAATTTTGGCAAAGTAATTTAGCCAAAAAAAGGTGAGCATTAGATTCAAGTAAATAGGGTATCATCTGATCATAACTGATTTTAGAAACATGTTGAATTAATTCATTAGTTCAACATGAAAAGTCTAGTTGACAAGAATGTATATATAACATTCTCCTGTGGTCATTTCGTAGGGAAATGTATAAAAGAGCACAAGGAAGAACTCGAATTGGGAAAAAGAATTTCAAGAAGCGTTGGTTCTGCCTTACAAGTAGAGAATTGACTTATCATAAGCAGCAAGGTATGGAAGTGCTGATATGTGACTAGGTGCGGAAAACATTCTGTAAGGTGCAATGTGCAAACTGTGCTCTATTGTTAAGTGAATGTAATGGGATATTGTTTTATAGTTCACATTCAGATATGACAAAGTGGTTAAAATGCTTAATTTTTCATATTTGAGTTTTTAAAAGTTGCATTCAAATAAATCTGGTGCCTCCATTGCTTAGGGGCAATAAATCAGGATGAGTTTGACATGTACCAATATATTTTGAGCATTGCTTTCAATATTTTTGATTACTCTCCTGTAAAAACCAGTGTATATTTGTTGCCTCAAAGCAATGGAGCCACCAACCACCTCTGTTCCGAAATTTACTTTCAATTTGCTGTGGCAGGTTAGTATTATATATGGCACTATAAGATGGGCAAGCATACGAAGTTTTACTGCATTTTCCAATAGCTTCTGGGGGCGGGGGGATAAATCAGAAGGTGGGAAGTCCCATTTTATGACAGTGGGAGTGTTGAACCCAGTATTTAAGTTCTGTGTTATCCTAATTTTTTAATTCTTATTTATGCAGATAAAGAAGCCATTTATGCAATTCCAGTCAAAAACATTCTTGCAGTGGAAAAACTTGAAGAGAGTGCTTTTAATAAGAAAAATGTAAGTCAGCTTTAGTTTTGACTTATGCTTAGAAAATGAATTTCAGGAAAGTAAACCAAATAGAAAAGGAGAAGCATTATATGTCAAGAATGTTTCCACCTATGAAGAGATCCATAATATAAATTTTGGAAGCCAAATTGAAAACTGTTAGATAAAAAATTAAGGAGGATAAAAACAACAGAGATCTCATTGTCATTGTGGAAGACTACTATACACCCCCAAACTAGACTGAGGACTTTGGGTGGTGCCTTTCTTGAACAGATGGTAAATATTCAGAAAGGTGAGAGCTAGCAGCCTTGGGAAATTCCATCTCTGCCAAGTACATAAAATCCAACAAATGCCTCTCATGCCTTGCAAACAATTCCACTGTCCAGAAGGTACGAGAGGGTCAGTGCTTTTAGATCTCAGCATAACGAAAAGTGGTGTGGAAGTAAAGGGATCCCTGGGTTGTGGTGGCCATTTCCCTGGAGTTTGTCACACAATAAAAAGAGAAAGCCAGGCATTCTCAGATACAGCCAATTTCAAAAACCTTTGAAAATTCTAAATGGCTGTATAATGGGCTAACAGTCTATTAAGGAGCTGGCTCCATGAGGAACCCTTTTGAATCTATGTAGTGAACACAGCCTACAGACTGATTCTGGTGGTGACTTGTTGCTGCTTCATGCACAGTTCATCTCTTTGTGACAGTACTTCTCAAGAGGATTCTAACCCTGCCCCTCAAATCCTGGAAGAGAGGCTTTATATTTTAAAAATCTATTTGCTCATGTATTTATTCTTTTCTGCTTCACCTTCAAGGAAGTTATGAAAGCTTATGAGATAGGGATACTGTCTTGATGCTTCCTTTTAATGATTATTTTCTGGGAATAGCTGGGGCTTAAGTTAGATGAGGCCTCATGAGCCTTCAAGTCAAACCCCCTTTCCAATGCAGAATCTGCAACTAAAGCATCCCTGCAAGGAGCTGTCCATCCTCTTTTGAAGACAACCAGAGAAGGAGGCCTTAGCACCTCTCTAGGCAATTGATAATAATAATTATTATATATATTTATTTATATTGCGCTCTATCTCCCCGAGGGGACTCAGGGTGGATTACAAAACACATATATGCTTTCGCTCCACCTTCCATGCCGAGGAGCTTTGTCGTCCGTTGACGCACTCTCAATCAAATGGCCGGCATGTCCTTACGAGCGCCTTTTTTATTACCTCCCCGCTTAAAGCAGTACATATTTACTCACATTTTTGTTTTCAATCTGCTAAGTGAGCAGAAGCTGGCACTGAAGACGGGTGCGCACCCCGACCCAGGCTTGAACTGCCAACCTTTCGATCAGCAGGATTTTCTACAGCTGGTGGAATCAGTTCCTTGATTCCATTGCTGAAATGTCTCTTACTTTCAAGAAGTTCCTTCTAATGTTCAATTGAAATGTACTCTCTTATACCTTAAAACCATTACTCTCTGGCTCAGCAAATAATAGGCTTAGCCTCTCCTCTCTGTAACAGCCCTTGAGGACTGAAATCGGGCACCCCTCAGTCTTCCTTTCACCAAGCTGATCGTGCTCAGCTCGTTCAACCTTTCCTTACATATTTTCTTCAAATTTTTTTGCCCTTTTTGAGCTATTCCAACTTATCTATAGCCATTTTGAAATGAAACATCCAACACTGAACACAGTGCTCCATTTGGGTCAGATCAGTGCAGAATATTATGGGACTAGTATTTTCCTTGCCTTGGAAACTATGCTTCTATTAATTCAGGCTCAAATAGCATTCTGTTAAAATAGCATTCTGGTAAACGAAAAGGTTCATGAACTGCTGAATATACTGAGAAGCTTTTTCCTAATTTAGAATAAAAATGGGTGTGAATAGGGAGAGCAAGTGTGACATATATGTGGTGGGAGAATTAACATGTAGAAAATCCTAGAGTGTGGGTCTGTCACTGACAGAACAATTAAAATGCTGAGACACAACAGCCAGTTCAGAAAACCCTATACAAATATCAATTAATGTTCCTGAATGAACTTAGTTGCTTCCTAAATGAAAAACAAAAACAAAACACAACCTTCTTTTTCAGATGTTTCAAGTTATACATGTTGAAAAGCCACTCTATGTGCAGGCAAATAATTGTGTGGAGGCTAGTGAGTGGATTGAAGCTCTCTGCAGAGTGAGCAGGTGCAACCAAAAGAGACTGAATGTTTATCATCCGTCTGCTTTTCTGAACGGGAACTGGCTTTGCTGTAAGGCCACATCAGAGCATTCTGTGGGTTGTACACCTTGTACAGCGTAAGTAATGCCCGCAAGGAGATGTTTGTGTGTCTGCATGCATTCTTCGAAATAGAACTAAGATTACATTTTGCTTTAATTTTCTATGACTTAATTTATGCATTACCATTCTGTGATTTCAGTGTTGCATTATTTTTCGATTCCATTTTTTGAAATGGTCATATCTTAAAGTATATTCTTATAAAAAGTTTACTGATCTGTTTTCCAAATAATGTACTATTATTTTCTTACTTATTTGTGGATATTTATTAACTGTTTCTATCTGAAAATTTCAGATACACAACATACAAATACACAGTACACATAGATGTTAGATTTAGCTGAACGGGGAAAACTTACATAAATGAGGTGTGAATTGGTCTGGGATTGTAAATTGGAATAGCAGAGTTCATTTTTTATATTTATTCTTTACTAATGTATACACATTTGTGTTTATTTTCTTGTCTCTACTTTGGGCAATTCCTTGCCAAAAGCAGAGATCAAGAATGGGAGGAAAGAATTTGACACACTTGACATTCGCGGGGAGCAGCCATGTATTATCCATAATCTCAATGTGGTATACAGAGAAAAGGTTATGTCAGCAAAATAATATGATTTTAAATTTTAATTGCAGAGGTGTACCTGCTGAAATTCAACTAGAAATTGATGGAGACCGAGAAACAGAGAGAATCTACTCCCTTTTTGCTATAAATATGACAAAGCTGCAGAAGATGGAAGGTACTGATACATGGTTCATTAAGAAATAGCAAAGTGGTCAGTAATTTGATGTGGATGTGTGTAGAGAGTATCTCATGCAATGGGTGCTCATATTAGCTTCCTATGGTCAAATTATTTTAATATATAGTGTGGTGGTTCTAACTACAAGTGTACATAATGGGACTGATGAAATCTTCCTTCCCTGTCAACTTTCCCCTCAGTCTTGAGCAAGCACAGGTCATTCCATTAATCAAAGCCCATAGTCTATAGCAGTTGTTCTCAACCTGTGGGTCCCCAGGTATTTGGTCTACAACTCCCAGAAATCCCAGCCAGTTTACCAACTGTTAGGATTTCTGGAAATTTAAGGTCAAAGCATCTGGGAACCCACAGGTCAAGAACCACTGGTCTATAGGTTATAAGAGAAGTAGAGGGTGCATAATTAATCTTCCATCTGCCTCATTACATCATTCTTACCTTAAACCAAATAATTATATATTCAACTTTTTAAAATGTTACACGAGAAGCCCACAGTCATTGACAATCTGTAAAGAATCCGAATATAAAAGAAATAAGTAAACTTGGAATTTCTCCCAATAGTACTAAATGTTAATCTGTATCTCAAACTAGGAAAAACATTAACAATAACATTCTTTTCCCTGACACTGTGATACATATTTTTAGAGGTGTGTGGAAGTATAGCAGTCTATCAAGGGCCACGGAAGGAACCAGATGACTACTCTAACTTCAAAATTGAAGACTCCGTAGCAACTTTTCAAACTCTTCAGCAAATAATATCTGTTGTTGAAGGACTGAATGAACATCATGACAGATATCGGAAGAAAAGGTCATGTAGTGCTAAATATGGTAGCGAGTAAGTATCATAGCTATTTCTGTAACTAAGTAGATGCCTTGTATAGTCTGACATTGTATCAAATCGTAGTCTTATAAATTATGCAAGCTAGTCATGTTAGTTAAACAAAGTGAATTGAAGCTTCGCACTCACACATTTAGACATTTAGCATAGTTGAGTTGTAACAAGTGTGATATTCAGATTTATTATTTCTAATAAATAATTTATCCACCCAACTTTGAGTGCACTTTAAATAGGTGGAGACGTTCTCTTATGGAGTCAGAAAATGCTTAAAGGACAGGAAGCATACTGTGGGAAATAATGGTCAGTTCTTGCCATGGAGGAATATGATCAGTAAGGTCCCTCATAGAGTGTATCAGGACTGCTGTTTTTAGCTTGTTCATATGCAACCTAGAATTAGGGATGAATAGCAATATGGTCAAGTTTGATGGGGGCACTGGGTTATTTAAGATGGTGAGAAAAAAACAGATTGTAAAGAGTTCCAAAAGGATCTCACCAAGCTGCACTAAAATGGTATCTGATACTGATACATACTGATCCATGCCATATGTGCACTTAGTACAGGAGTATCCATTTAATGAGTGGCTTTGGGGCTTATTTGAGCGCCACAGTCAGCTAAGTATGGAGATAACATTCATACATATAAATAACTCCTTTAAGACCTGTTTCCTACTATAAAGGAGCAATCCATGTATGGAAAACTAGAAGGAAACAAGATACACAGATTGCAATATTGCATTTTTAAACCTGTGGGAGAGATAAAGTTGGTATAAATAAATATAATAATGATAATAATGATAATAACAATATAGAAACATGACCACATGAGACAACTGTTGTATATAGGTAAAAGTCTTCTCATGAGCAACCATTAATTAATGGCTGCTACCTAATGGCAGTGAGTGGTTTCAGATCACTCTAATCAGCATTAAAGGTAATTATGAAGTGGATCATCATCTCTCCATGCTCTTTCCAAGTAGGATTTCAATTGTATTTTCCAGACCTTTAGTCCAGAATTAAGTCCAATAGAAAGGCATTAGGCAAATGACAACATCTTACAGTGTACAACATTTTGTTGTAAGTGGGCTGATAGGATTAACATTTGACTGAATGTTGTGAAAGATTGTGCTGTTGCATATTTGTCTATCCGTAATTAATATATTTAGCTTCTTCTCCATGGTCTCTGTGAAATCACACATATGGGATTTCCGGTGCCAGCTCAGCCAGTGTGCAATCTTCTAGAAGCTCTTAGGATATATTTTGGCAGTAGCCCCACCCACACTTCCCATGGAAGTATATAGCCAGTGGGAAGGGCTACAGCAGGGGTCGGGAACCTTTGGCCCTCCAGGTGTGGTGGACTTCAACTCCCACAATTCCTTGAGGCTCGGCATTCGCCCCAAAGGCTTACCTTGGCCCAACGAGGTTTGTTTGGCTCTTTTTCATGGAGGACGGGCAGCAAAGGGGGAGAGACGAGCGTAACGTAGCTGTGCAGATGGCGAGGAAGGATGCGGAGCCCACAGACTGGCCTCGGAGGGAGAGAGCGGGCGGAAACCCCTGCGGGCAACGCGCCTCCTCGCCGCTTCGGCCCGTAGCAACCGCCCCGCATGGACCCCCTCCCTAGCAACGACGCCGGCTGAGTGACGTCGTGCAGAGCTTGTCGGGGAAAAGGGAAGGCGAAGGCTGGAGGGAAAGGGCTCTGCGCTGTTTACAGAGAAGCGGCGAGGAGGCGCGTTGCCCGCAGGGGTTTCCGCCCTCCGAGGCCAGTCTGTGGGCTCCGCATCCTTCCTCGCCATCTGCACAGCTACGTTACGCTCGTCTCTCCCCCTTTGCTGCCCGTCCTCCATGAAAAAGAGCCAAACAAACCTCGTTGGGCCAAGGTAAGCCTTTGGGGCGAATGCCGAGCCTCAAGGAATTGTGGGAGTTGAAGTCCACCACACCTGGAGGGCCAAAGGTTCCCGACCCCTGGGCTACAGCCTCAGTTCCTTCCATACGTGAGAATTTCACAGATGACAACTCAAAGAAACATGGTTATAGGTAAACAACCCTGTCATCTCAAGGAAGGGGAATTTCCATCCTAACAGAATCTAACCACCTCTAACAGAACAACCAGTTTTTTTAAAAATCTTGTTGAGTAATAATATAAGTCCAGGGTAGCTAAAGTTTATAGCTATATTGCTGCACTTCATCTGGAATTTGGCAAACTGTAATAATGGGAAGTATAACTATTTTTGCAATTGAAAAACTCAAATATCTGTCCTAATTTTTAATCCTCTTTTGTCACAGAATGATAAATATGATTTCTATTTTTTTTCCTAGAGAAAATCCAATTGTGGGGAAAATTTCCTAATCTGCGACAGAGATGGATTTCGAAGGAACTGAAACAGTTTTGTTTGGTTCTGTGCCGATTCAGAATATTCAAAAATGTGCCCAACATGAACATTAATTCTATTTAATATTTAAAAGGGGGAAAGACCTGCTGGGGAACCTGATTTTGAATTTTTTAAAACTTTATTTTATTATTTTGTGCAACTGGAGGAATCATTTCTATATTGCTTAGAGAACTTTGAAAGTTCCAGAAGATGCAAGAGAGCAAAGCTTCTAGAACCAGAAGGAACATCAAGGAATAAGCTTTCCAAGGGAGGAATATATCTACCACTGCAAAAGGGATTTTTATGTCTGCCAAGATAATCATCATTTTTGTATATCAATCACCAGTACTTGTTTTGTGGACAGTGATTTTTGGCAAAAGAAATCTCAACAGGTGGCAGAGAGATTTGAAGCTTTACATTCATTGCACAGCCACTTTTATTATTGTCCTTTCTTAATATAGAATAGCTTTTTTTAAAAGAGAAGTGGAGGTACTTTTTAAATATTCATTGTTGATTAGTGATAACATTATTTAAGTGATGTTACTGAAGCAGGACAAATCAGGGAGTCTATTCATCTTGTTTACATTTGGAGTGAGTAGTGAAAGGAGTGACATGGGACCACTGCCTGTTATTTGTCTTCTTAAACAGCCTATTATTAATAATGTCCTGTTCCAGAAGTACAAATATTTCATGCAGTTAGGGAAATATTTGGTTGATACCTACCAACAACAAAAAATACAATCCAACCAATAGGAATTATACACTGGATGTCATATCCAATTATAATAAGTTTTTAGTTATCACTCCAAGCACTTTAGATATCTGGATAGTCCCAGATTATAATTCCAGATACTTTGTAGTATCTAAACATTATGATCAGTTGAATGATCACTATTGTGGCTTAAGACAATGCTTTTGTGAACATTTTTATATCTAATTTTTTACTTGCCAGATGATGTTTTGGAGTTAGCCTTGCCTTTAGAAACTCTTTATCTTGCCTTTTTGACATATTTGTAATGATGATGGACTCATAAGTATCTGTATGTAATGAACGGAAACAACTTATCACTTGGGAGAAGAAAGGGATAAGCTTCCTTTGATCAGTATTATTGGATGTGGTACTAAAAATACCTCATCTTGGGAGCAGTTTGGTGAGCACTATCAAAATGGATATATTTCATCATTCCTTTTGTTTAGTTTTTAAGAATTCTGTTTTTATTACTTGCCACGATTGTAGATAAATGTATTCATTGTTCAGTAGAAATTTGAAATGAAATTTAGAAGCTACTATCTGCTTGAATTACTACATTAACTGCTAATAGTATGGCATAGGCTAAGAAAAAGCAAGAAAGTCTTCTTATCCCATGTTTTCTGTACCACCATAAAAAAGAATGCAACCAGCTGGAACAGCTACTAACCATGCTTTTGATACTTCCATGGGTTTTGAATTTAGTTTGCTACAAGGCATGCTGAAAGAAGAGATATTAGCCAAGAAGCGTATTCCTTTTGGATGTATGGCCTTAGCTGTGCAGTTTTATGATTCATTGGTTTTGAGCAGTGTGGATAGAAGCACGAACTGATTAGTTACAGAATGAATAGCACGGGCTGTATAATAACATTTGAGATATAAACAAGTTGAAGAAACTGCAACTGAATTATAATTCATAAACTCTATTACTTTTATCCGACTTTATTTCCAAGATTTTTAAAAATATGCTTAACACGGCACATTCTGTACTCGAGTCCCTAAATTTACCCTTGATGTGTTCGTAAATAGTAGTGGAGGCTGAACCAGCCTGAGAACTGCCATAATAAATTGCTTTCCATTTATAGAGAGAACGGGAAGAAAGGGCAGAGAAATACAGTCCCTGATCTTCCCTGGTCAGTGTGAGCTGGCTAGTTAGTGTGATCTTCCCTGGTTAGTGTGAGCTTCAAAGATATGCGGATTTTTTTACCATTTTCCCCCCAAACATATTCAATTTGCTTCGTCCAAATATAGCATTAAAATGGTACTTGCCGATTTCTTATGTTGTCTTAGGGAAATCTTGCATTTCAGTAACAAAGATAAAAGAAAAATGGTTCCCAAATATTTCTATTACAATCTGTAATTCAAAAGTCTGCACCATTTTCATGAAGTAGCATATTGTTGCCTTGTTTGTGACATGATAATGCCGAATGACATTTGCACATGACTGGAAAATGCCATATTTTCTGTTTTGCTTCATCGTTTTTATAGCCTTGCCCTCATTATTATTACTCATATTAATTGCATATAAATTAAACTTTAAAATCCAAATTAGCAAAATGTCTCTACATGTGGAGGCTAACCATCCAATTTGAAATCATGGAAGATGGGGATTGTAAAACATGTAGGGAGCATCCTTGGAAAGAAAAGTTTCCCTAGTGCAGAAATGACGGCTAAATTTCTGCCAGTGTGTCTACCATTAAAGACACACTTAGTTCCTTAGTACATACTTGCTTCTCCTCTTCATAAAGTTGCCCGCTAAATAATTTCATAACTGTTTCTTAGACTGGTGAAAATATACTTACATAGACAAGCATTGTGGGTGTACATGTTGAGATGTGCTAGACCTTGTGGAAAATAACGAAGGAGTATAATTTTTGGGTTTCTGACTGCATTAATTGCTGAATGACTTGTGGAGATATGACTTCATTCAGTAGAGTTGCACATAATTGCATCCCCTTGACAGGTTTATCTATATCTATTTTTGCATGCCATTCCTCCCTCTTCTGTGTGGAAGACTTTGTTTTGGTTACAAGCTTACCTTAAAAATTTAGTTCACCGTTTACTGGATACACTTGGGTATCATCTTAGGTTTTCAATACACAGATACACAACACTGTCAACACCTTCAATTATGGTTTGCTTTGCATAATTATTGCATATTTCTTTTTGTTTTAGCATTTGACGATTTACAGAAATATGTTCTTTTTAAAAATGCTACAGGATATTTTCTGTATACATTGTAGCTGTACCAGTGGCAGTGTGTCATGCTTATTATTGAGGGACAACATTTTTCAAACAATAGTGTTAAAGGTTATACATTTATATTATATTAATTGGTTCAGCCACTGCATCACCATCATGAAGTAATACATTCCTACCCTATTCATTCAAAACAATGATGGTGTTTAGAACCCTCCACAACTTCATGTCTAGGAATGAGTTCATTCTAGAGTTTGAATGTCCTTTTTGCTCTCTCATTGACAATATGTGAATTGCAGCATGCCTTACACTGTTTGCATAGTGAGGTTTGGATTCATCTCCCGATTCATTCATCGTTTACCTGCATACTGCCCCACTGATGTTTTACAAGATCTCTACACAAGAAAGACACATTGACTTTCTGTTGTGAGTGGGAACTCTGCATGTTATAGATGTATGTGACATCCAGGAGAAGCAGTATACTGAGCTGGGAGAAAGGGGTCATAAGAACCATATCCATTCGGAGGTACAGTAATCTTAGATTCCTCATTTAGCTTATGAAATATCAGTGTTCTACAAATATTAAATAGGCTTGTTTGGCAGAGAAACAAATGTTTCAAAATATTAAGTAATTCTTTTAATATTTGATGGGTATTTAATAAAGTTAATTACCCATCAAATTTGACCATTCTTGAAAACTATTATTATGAGAAGTAATGCACTTTGAGAAGTTACGGTACCATATTGTGTAGATTGATAGCTAGGAGCAGGAGGGGAAATTCAAATTCCATCACTTCAGTATCAATACTGTTTGGTTAATTGCCATGTGCCAGGGATATTTCTAGCTTTACCTGTTCAATTGTTTTTGGCAATAATATAGTTCAAATGGAGTAGTATGCATAATAGTATGCCATCGATAGTACAGTATGTCCAATGTTCAAAAGACGTTTTATATAACTTTGAAATAAAGTTTTCCTGACAATTAGGTTTGGTTGAAATAATACATTTTACAGTGTATTTTTATTTGTTAGGGTGATGCATTGAATGTATTTTATTTAAAGTTTATTTTATTAAAAAGTATTAAAGTTCAGTAGAATTGTTTGAAACCTGAAAGTTGCAGCCAGTTTCAATGTGGTGGTGATCATTTTCAAATCTTACAAATGTAGATCAAGGTTCTTCTCTGCAGTGGAAGCTGTTCTAAGACTCAAAACTACTTGCAAACACTCTGTCTGAAGCAGGAGTCCTAAGCCAAGGGCCGGCTCATGGTTCCTGAGACTGTTGAGGGGCCGGACTATGGTTTGAAAAAAGATGAAGGAATTCCTATGCACACTGCACATATCTTTCTTATAGTGCAAAAATTGAAAGAACAATACAATATATAAAATGAAGAACAATGTTGTGTTTGTGTGCCTTTATGTCATTTCAGACTTGGGGTGATCCTAAGTCTAAAATTTAGGACAGGGGGCAGATAAATGACCTTGGAGGGCCACATCTGGCCCATGGGCCTTACTTTGGGGACCCCTAGTCTAAAGTGTACTAAATTACAGAAATCTTAAGGTTTCTTGAAACCTTAACAAGGTAGCAAGGAACTGAGTTTGATCCTATTCACAATAGCTTGCAAGAAAGGAAGCTGTTAGAACATGTCTGTGCGATGACATTGGTCATGTTGGTAATATCACATGGGCTATTGGCAATAGGAGATGCAACAATGATATAAGATCATTTAGAACAGTGGCTTCCAACCTTCTGGCCTTCAGGTGTTTTGGACTTCAACTCCCAGAAATCCCAGCTAGTTTACCAACTGTTAAGAACTATGGGAGCTGACATCCAAAACATCTGGAGGCCCAAAGGTTGGGAACCACTGATTTAGAAGATCGAGGCTATTTTTGATGTTTTGTCCTTATGTGGCAAAGTTTCAGAAAATAGATGTATTTGGGTGGACATCAGGGAATCTTTAGTGTGTCACTATCAAACATTTCAGAAGCAGGGTGTGCTTTACCAGTTGACTAACAAATTGAAAACACAGACCCTCAAGATTTGTGAGATGCTTACTGTCAGCTGGCAACCTATGAAATCATCAGTAGAATAACAAACTACTTTTGGTTGTTAGGAAGAATGGCTATATTTCTTCATGTTAATTGTAAATTAACTGTGGTTTTTTTTCGGTTTTAAAAAGTATTTTTTCTCCAAAAACAAATAAAAGAACCTTTCCAGATAGTTTCCAAATAAGTATTTATTTCAAACTCTCTAATAATTAATTTTTCATATAAAAGCTATCTTGCTATTTTATTATTTAATGAATGTATATCCTTCTTTCTTCCTGAGATGTAATTCAAATCAGTTTATAATAATTTTTAAAAGATTAAATTAAAATAATGGGAATACTGTTTTTTCAAAAATATATATCGTTATGAACATCTGACTCTAGCTTGCTTTTATATACTTGGCCTCGCCTCACTTTGCTTGCTAAATTAGCTCAAATTAAGTCACTATGAATGAACACAAGGGACTGAAATATAGGATAGCAGTCCTGGCCCTTTAAATAAAAAAAAAAGCTTGCCTTTTTCTTCAGTCCTACATCATGGTTGCTAGGTGATCTGAAAACACTTCATTTGTAGGGAAGTTTAGAAACACATTCCAAAGCATGAGACAGCAGTGGGTTAGAGAAACACTACTTTTCTGGGTGAACTAGCACTGCTGACCAATCCAAGGTAGGTAAATATAATTATGTTCTCCAGTTTGAAAGTCTTGGCACAGTTCTGCCTTCTGCCTCTATTCCTTTGATTGGCATATAAATGATTCCCCCCCCCCCCCCAAAATGTAATGGCACCAGCACTGCAGCTTCCTCAAATCCAAAGGCAGAATGTTTCCATTCAAAGGTAAAAAGAAGCCAATGCCTATTTCCTCCCCAAACTTCCTTCAACTTTGTGTGATATCATTGGAGGGATGAGACCAGCTATGGGAACAAGAAGGCTACTCTTTCAAGCTGCCACAAAGACTGCATGCTCAGAAACGAAGATGCCAAGTCCTGTATCTCTGTTGCTAACAATAGTATCCTGGCAACAGAGTCCTAACTAGCTGCTGCCTTTGAAACGGATTTATATGTGTTCTGTTCAGTAGAAGATGACAAGGATCCAAAGTTGTTTGTTCAGAGTGGCAGGTATAAGGAGGAGAACCAATAGTCAGTCATTTACCATCTGAAGAACAACAATTCTTCCTTGTTGGGATGATGTGTATTGATGCCAACTAGTCCCTAAGGAAAGAGGTAACACTGTTTTTTCCATTACTTTCGTTACAGTTGATTACACTGCAAGTGCCTTCCTGTAAATTCATAGACCCGGAAAGTAACCGAGCCTTCTGTCAATGCAGGAAATTCATGTCTGTAGGACTTAGGAGGCCACTGAGCCACTGCTTAAAAAATTCTGAACAAGATCCAATCATTTTCTAATGCAACCTTTTCCACTTTCAAGGTTCTTGTACAATCATCAAGCTATTCTGAATGTTTAAGCTTTGTTTTTCTTAGGATCTACACTCATTGGTTGAGTCTGAAGACTTCTGCTCTATGTAAAGTATTTTAATGTGTCAGTCATACCCTTTTATTTAATCATTACTTTCCAGGCTATGCTTATCTAACCCTTCAACATTTCCTAATTGGATTTGGTTTCTTGAGCCATTTTTTCTACTGTGTTCCTTCCTGCCCAAACATAATTAAACTTTGGAGCAAAAGGGAAACACCGGAGAAAGGAGGACTTCTTAAAAGTTTCTTCTGCTTAAATTGCCCCCACAGAATCTGTTTTCCATCCTGCAAAGAAAAAGAAATGGCTACCTAACCTCCACAACATGGAAGGACACCTCAAGCATGGAAACAGCCTGAGATTCAGCTGCTATCCTCCTTTCCCAAAGTTTGAGTTAGTTACAGCTTACTCTGCTTTGGGAAGTGGGTTGAGAAAACTCAGCAAGCTGATGCACATTGATATATAATTTGGGCTTTGGGCTCATTGATTTCAATTAACTGAACCATGCTTAATTCTTTATTGGATTAGGGCCATGTGCTTCTAATGTATGGTTCATTATCCATAACGCCAGATTTAGGCAGGTTGTTCCAAGCAATGACATTATGAATTCTGGTGTGATGGAGGCAGTTATAAATATTTTGTGCACTCACAACTGCTTGGGGTTAGTGTCACATCAGCTTTTGAACACATTCTGAAAGTTGAATTCCACTGTGGGGTAGGGAGATTGGTAATATTAATGTGAACAGCTTTTACAGAGGGTCATTCCTAGAGGTAGCACATTCCACTGTCAAACAGCTCTTACCGTAAGGAAGTTTTCCTAATGATAAGGTAAAATCTCTTCGGGTTGCTGAGTTTTCCAGGCCATGTTGCAGAAGCATTCTCTCCTGATGTTTCACCCACATCTATGGCAGGCATCATCAGAGGTTGTGAGGTATATTGGAAACTAAGCAAGGGAGATGTATATATCTGTGGAAGGTCCTGGGTGGGAGAAAGAATTCTTGTCTGTTGGAGGCAAGTGTGAATGATGCAATTAATCACATTGATTAGCACTGCAAAGCCTTGCAGATTCAAGACCTTACTGATTCCTGCCTGGGGGAATCCTTTGTTGGGAGGTGTTAGCTGGCCCTGATTGTTTCATGTCTGGAATTCCCCAGTTTTCAGAATGTTGTTCTTTATTTACTGTTCCAGTTTTAGAGTTTTTAAATACTGGTAGTCAGATTTTGTTCAGTTTCAACAGAAAGGTTTCCTCCTTTCTATTGAAACTGTCTACATTAAATCTCTTTTCCTGTACTTTGAAGCTATTGCCAACACATGCCATTTCTTGGTGTGACATAGATTTGGATTCCCTTTCTCCTTCCACTACAACCAGCCCCTGCAGACCTACCATGGAACCACTGCAGTTCTTCCCCCGCTGCACATCCCGTTCTATGTTTCCACAGCTACACACAAATTTATTGTTACATCATCTGTTGGTGTCTACTGAGATTCTCCAGGCATATCTGTAGATGATGTAAATGGTTTAATTCTATTTTAATGTTCACTTTTTATTCTTTTAATTGTATTATTCTTTTAAATTGTAAGCTAATTTGAGTCCAAATTTTGTGGGGAAAATTGGAAATAATCAAAAATGATGAGGATGTGATTAATTTGCATCTGACTATAGGTCACACATAGCCAGGCCCTTCACCATCCCCCTTCCTACTGTGCCATACAGGCTGCCAGCCACTGTTAGAGCACATGCTTCAGTGAGCTTTCCCCAGTCCTGGTAATTTCCACAAGTATTGGTCAAAAAATCCTACGGTCCTCAAATTTGTGCGCGACTGGAATATACCAATGGTTGGACCTTAGCAAATCACCATCTATAGCAGGTATGAGCAAACTTTTTTGCCTTGGGTTCACATGGTGGGCCTGATCAAGAAGGTTGGACCAGGAGGGAGAATGCCCGGGCAAGAGCTGGGTGGAACAGTGTGTCCTCCCGGCATAAGGACGTGCTGCTTGCCCCATTCTTATGCCAGAAGGAAAATGAGACATATGGTGACTGCCCTGATCCCCTCCCCCGATTTTAGGGCTGTCCTCTCAGCTTTATGCCAGAAGGAGGTTGAGACAGGTGACACCTGAGAGTGCTTTCAGAAGGCTCTCAGCCACAGTGTGCCTTCCTCAGGCCATCCATTCAGCATAAGCACAGGGCTGCTCGCGCTGTCCTTATGCTGGGAGGAGGGCAGGACATGCAGTGGCTGAGAGCACTCCAGAGGGCTCTCAGCTGTAGCGTGCCTTCTTCCTCCGTCCTTTCTGCGGGCCACTGTATACTTACGTCAAGGGAACAGGGAAAATGAGTAGGGCCTGAGGTAAGTGTCCAGGGGTCGCATACAGCCCCCAGGCCTTAGTTTGCCCATGCCTGATCTATAGCATACTGTAATAGCTGAATTCTAGACTATTTCCCCAATAGCTTTCCTCATTCTCCCCTCTTTTAGCTCTCTCCCTGGTTTTGGTATAAAAATCTATATCATCTCTGTAAAAAATATATTTTGAAATAAAATTTGCTTGTAGGATTGTTGTACTTTCTCATCACACCTGCTGAATTTTCAGTAAGACGGTTGCAAACAGGTTTGTCTAGTTGGTGCAATATTTTTCTTCTTTTCTAATCCAGCTTTCTGTAACACTAAAAGATTTGAAGAAAGAAATTATGCCAAAGCTAAAAGGAAAACCAAAAGCCAATTCAGATGTCTATGTTCTTGAAAAGTTCCTGAGGACGTATGAAAAGCATTGCACGATGTCCCAAACTAGTGTCAGCCCGAGTATCAAACAAAGCCTTCGGCAATGTATAGCAAATGATACGTTAATCACTAAGGTAACTATATGAATTTAAAACAATTGTTTCATAAGTGGCAGGCAACAGACAGATTGGTAGAAAAATTACATCCAACTCCTAATGATTCTAAATGCATTTCTCTAGGAGGCACGATGGATCATGCTGTAGGATTCCCCAATTTCACATTTGCCAAAAAGCACATTAATGTGAATTTTCCTCTTCTTGGTGGCTCCTTTGTTATGCCCAAGGAAGATAAGCTGGTTTTATATTTGAAGTTATTCAGATGGCCAGCAAAGACAGTTTTAACAAACTGCTTTATTTGCTGTAGTGATGTAGGTTTTAGGCGATGAGTAGAGTTGTTTTCTTAATTTTATTTAGTTTTAAGTGCTTTTAGTGCTTTTATTTGAATTTAGTATTTAGTCTTAAATTATATTGCTTTTAGCCATCTTGAGCACTATTTGTAGTGGAAAGCTAGGACATCTACAATACTACTACCGATATTATAAATATAAAAGCAATATGAAGAATCACCAAAGTGACCCTCATTTCATGAGTCTAGCTGCTGTACATATATTACATGGTAGTGAATGTTGTGCATATTGTTGTGGGACCGTCATGAGCAAAGTTGAATAAGTTTTAATTTAGTAATGCAATGTCTTTCTATCATTACTTGATTAATGTCTGCCATATTTATTACTGCCCGTTCCTGAGAAAAACATCAACCTAAATCACTTCAGAAAACCACCAACCCATTCTCTCACACACAGCAGGACTGTTATTGATTCTGCTCTCTTTTTCCCCAGTTTGTGATTACTGATGTGAAAACAGCCTCAAAAAATTTGCGTCCTGTGCTTCTCACTCCTCTACTAAGAACAATTCGAGATGAACGATATCGGTTGGGAAAGGAGCTCTGCATCTGGGGAATTCAGACTAGCCCTCAAGATATTGCTAATCTTGTAGGTTTACTAAATCAGTTGAGTTATATAAGAATCATAGTGTCTAAGTGGTTGTAAATATGAAAGAGTGTTATAATATTGCAATAGTTACACATAGATCTTACTTTGGTAGCATTTTCAGCAGCATTTTTCTTTGTATCTCAATGGTGTTCTCTTGTTACATAATCTTCTTCTAACTCACAATAACTCCTAGTGTGCTGGCACAGCTGTGCCAGGGGTTTGAATTCCCTTTTTCTTTCTTTGCTTGTTTGCATGAATTCCTGTAGGCTATGCATTTTGCAATTTGGTAGTTTCCTCCAGGTTGCAGTTATAGGGCCAGCAACCTGTCAATCATTGTTGCAGCCTTTAGATACGCCCCTTTCCCCAGGGTTTTGGAGGGAAAAGGGAATCTTTAGCTCAGTCTTTACAGTGAAGCCTTAAAGACAGGACGTTGTGAGCTTTTCTCTCTCCCACCTGTAAAAGGCTTCATTTCTCACAGCAAACTCTGCTGGGGAAATATAGCTACAGCCAGCCTTCGCTGGAAAAGGGGGAATACAGCCAGTTTTTCTGGAAAGTAAAGGACTTCCTTCAACTTCCTTCAGATTGGAACCGGGAGTAGGTCCCACGCCAACAAAGAAAAGAGATTGCCCAGGGAGGGGGTCAAAGGATTTCCCTTAAAGAAGAAAGGAACAGTTTATTAAGCAGTTGCCTGTCCCTCATTGGCAGATTGGAGAAGTTACCAATTTTCCAAAGTTATAGAGTGTTTATTCAGTGTTTTGAAGATTTTATCCTTAATAAAGAATTTTGTTGGACTTATCTTAAGCCTCAGCAGAACTTTGTGTAGGGAAATCTATACAACCTCTCAGCCCAGGCACCCCGGCGTCCCGTTGGGCATTCAGATAGCACGTCCTGTTGACAGACATCCCCACAGGCCCAACACGCGACTGCACACCTAGTAACCAAGGATAGTATGAGCATTAGTTGCAGTTAATACTTGCATGGGAGACTGCTGACAAATACCAAGTGCTATGGGAAATATTTCAGAGGAAAAAACTAGCAAACCCACTTTTGAGCCTTCCCTGATGAAATAAACACCTATGGAATTTGTGGTCTTGCAAAAAGACAAGAGATTTAAAAGTGTGCATTGTACACATGCACACACAAAATGAAATATACTTTTGCAGAATGTACTACCCTTACATTTTAAAGGAACCTTTTGGGAGAGGAAACCACCATAAAATGCTTTTGGAATCTGGAAAACCCAAAATCGTATCTGTCTCAAGTCTTGCCCAAGTAAATGTGTGGGCATGTTAGACTGGGATATAAAGTTGCATGCAGATAGAATCGATGTTGTAGCTCAGCAGTAGACACAGCAGACAGGGGCTGATGGGTTAACTGATGACTTAGAGCAGGGGTCCTCAAACTAAGGCCCAGGGGCTGGATACGGCCCTCCAAGGTCATTTACCCGGCCCTCACTCAGGGTCAATCTAAATCTGAAATGACTTGAAAGCACACAACAACAATCCTATCTCATCAGCCAAAAGCAGGCCCACACTTCCCATTGAAATATTAATAAGTTTATATTTGATTAAATTGTCCTTTATTTTAATTATTGTATTGTTTTTAAGTGTTTCTTGCACTACAAATAAAATATGTGCAGTGTGCATAGGAATTAATTCATTTTTTTTCAAATAATAATCCAGCCCTCCAACAGTTTGAGGAACTGTGACCTGGCCCTCTGTTTAAAAAGTTTGAGAACCCCTGACTTAGAGTTAGGTGAAATTTTGGACTTTCCTGATACAGGCTATAAAGAAATTACAAGAATATCCGAGGCAGGGGGGTCAAACAATCCCACCGCTGCCACCAATATAAAGTAATTAAAAGGCTGTCTGGGCAGGGGGGTCAAACAATCCCACCGCTGTCTTCTGATATAAAGGAGTTAAAGGCTTGTCGAGGCAGGGTGGACACAACGAATCACACCTCCGTCCTTCGATATAGGGAAATTAAAGGCTGACCCTATGTTGTATGTGCAAGTGACCAAATGTTCTTGGTAATATTTGCCGCCACCACCTCAGAAATTACTGGCCTGAGGAACCAAAAGGGTGTGAATGTATTATAGGTAATGTGGGTTTGAGTTCTTGGTCTTCTATGGCTTCCTCCCTAGCTGACTGGACTTTAAAATGAGTTGAGAGAATGAGTTCTGAGGGAAACGAATGGATTGAGGCATACACCAGTTAACAGTAAACTAAGAAAGAGTTTATTTAAACTTGATAATAACAACAACTCGTTGGAAATGAGTGGTACAGAATCTTGATGCGATTGCAATAACTTAGTTGCTTGAACAGACAGTTCCCCTGACAGAATAGCTTTTACAGCCGTGAGTCCCTTTAACAAACTGTTCTACTTTTAGACACAGTTTCTCTTAGAGCACAGACTCCAGTCTGCCTCACTCACTGGGCTATAAGGTATCTTTAAACCTCTCTTCAGTTTAATAAGACACAGCTCTCTTTTACTAGTCCTCTCAACGTAGTAAAACTCTAGCCTAATGTCTTCACCTTATTCCCAAACCTAGAGGCTCACTAAAAGCTCTTCTTCTCCTGTCAGTTCCCTGCTGTAACTCCCTATCTCAAAAATCCACACCCTTCTCTGTCTCTAAGACTCTTCTCCCTTTTGTGTCAAAACTGGCAGCTTATTTTCCCTCTCTAAGCTGACTCCTCCCCCAATTGCTACACCCAATCAGGAGTCAGCCTGACTCCTCCTCCTGCTCTGCTTGACTACCAAGATGCCAGCCACTGCCATGCAGGCTTTGGCCTAGCCGACCAAAAGGTAGATCTATTACACAGGCCCTAGGATTCCTTCTCAGGCAGGCCAGGAAAGTGAAACTGTTTTCGATAGGCCAGAATAGATGCTGGCCTGAGAATATAATTGCCTCTGAACCTTAAGGTCAGGGAAAGGAGTTGGAGCCGTCCTCTCCAGATAAGGAGCCTAGTGAAGATGAATTGATGAAAAATTCTCATGGAAACGCACCTGGTGCTACCGATCTAAGCAAGGAGGCACGCTTGCATGTTCAAACAGCTTCCTAGATCAACACAGCTTTTTGGGAAACAGAAATTCCAGGGTAGATGTAATGCTTTCGTATCGGGTTATTAAGAGCTAATGGGGACTTTACTCTTCAGTTCAGGCAACGTGGCTTTAAGGTACAGGACTGAGTACTTTGGTTCTTGTTTCAAGCCATGGTTTTGGGATTCAAGCATTCTGGGAGTTCTTCATGCTCTTGTTTTAGATTCTGGTTCAACTTTTGCTTATGGATTTAAGCTGCCTTTTTATTTTGGGACTATCCTTGGATTTAACTGCTTTTGAATTTCTAAGAGAGAATTGATTGATGACCATTTCTACTTTTTCATTATATATCTTTTGTGTGCTTTTTCAATAAACTGTTTTCCTTTACTCTGGACTCTTTTGCGATGCTATGGTCATAGGTGGCTTCAGGCCTGAGGTACGACAATTAATAGGATTACTTTTATTAGTCAATTACGAGGTGCCAGACCTGCAGACATTCTTACCATCAAGTATGACAGAAAAGGCAGACATGTACACATCTCAGCAGCCAGCCCTTCTGTCCATCCGTGGCGATTCAGCTCACCATCTGTGGAGAACTATGAAGTCTGACAATGTATGAATCAGATTTTATTGAGCTGATTGTAATCCTCATAGAATACTTTTTTTATTGAGAGGGTTGGTTGACACTGGCAACTATAAGCACTGAAATAAAAGAATAATTTGTTTTCATGTGAGTTATTGGTAAATTATACCATAAGCTTCATGTAAGCTTTTTAGCACTGGAAGAATTGTAGGATGTGCTAATATTGATTCTTTCATTTTTGAGAATGAAGAGACCATATTCAAATTAATGCTTTCTTGATCCTTAGGCATACTGAACTAGTATTAATTTTGCAAGAGAGTATCAATACATATTTAAATTATGCCAAAAAACTTTTCAAAGCAAGCATGAACAATTAATATTAGAACGTTAATCTCTCTGATAAATCTTGGCATTTCTTCTTTTTATATACATGTTTAGGCAATCCTACTTGAGCTAGATGGGCGCACCATCTATCCATTTTCCAAATTAGAAATAACTCATCACGTTTTAGACCTTTGGAGTATGGAGAGACTCGGAGTAGCTTTACCTTACAGCAATCTGAATTCTCTTGTACTGGATTTTTCCAAGTAAGACAAAAAGGATGTGTAAGTATGATACCTGCCCTAAACACTTTGCATCCTTGCCTCATACTCTTGGTACTGTGACAAAGGAAATACTACACAATAAGTTTAACTACTCGGTGTATCATTCTAGGATGGCAGGGAGGGGCAATCTATCAAAGATGGGTTTTCTCTCAAGTGTAGGAGACCACATTTTGCATTCATTACGATTGTTGTGACCCTTCCCTTCTCCAACAGTCTTTTAAATAATAAGAAGTATATAAAAATTATTTATAGACCGCCCTATCTCCCCGAAGGAACTCAGGGCAGTTTCCAGCATATATGACAAACGTTCAATGCCAACGAGAAGACATATAAACAAAATAAAACACATCAAACAATATAAACAGCCTAACTTTAAGCTTAATAACAGACACAGATTAACCAGGAAATAAAACTCAAACAACTCCAAAAAATATAATAACGTAATAATAAATTTATCACAAAGTAACACATCTAAAACAACTATTATTTATTTATTTATTTATTTATTTATTTATTTACAGTATTTATATATTGCTTTTCTCACCCCTAGGGGAACTCAACTACAACTTTATTAAGAGGTGGTATGGTTTCTACAACCAACAGGCTGAAATCAATTCCAGTATATAGACAAGATTTGACATATCTCGATGAGGATGTATGTCAAGACGTGTTAGACTTCCATCCCTCTATACGCCAGTGCATAAGTGTAGTTTTAGCAACTTTTTAAAGGCGAGGAGAGAGGGGGGCAGTTTTTAGTTCTTTTGAGATGGAGTTCAAGAGGCAGGGAGTGACTGCGGAGAAGGCCCCCTCTTGTTCCCACCAGCTGTGCCTGAGACGGGGGTGGGACAGAGAGCAGGCCCTCCTCCGTAGATCGCAACACTCGAGCCGGTTTGTAGCGGAGATGTAGTTCTTCAAATATTCTGGGCCTGAACTGTTTAAGAATTGTTCTGGGCCTGAACAGTTTGTATTTAGCCCGGAAGCAGATTGGTAGCCATGGGAGTCGTCCTCTCACGCTCCAGTTAGTAACCTGGTTGCTGATCTCTGAAAGAATTGTAGCTTCTGAACTATATTCAAAGGTAGCCCCACATAGAGAGCATTGCAGTAGTCCAAACAGGAAGTAACTAAGGCGCTGTAACTAAGGTGTTAATCTGCTGCAAGCCAACCAGAAATGCATAAGGCTACTCAATACAGCATTGTTGATTTTAGTTTATTTAGAGGCCAAATAGAGAAAAAAATAGTGACACCTAAGTCCCAGCGAAGGCTGAAAAGCAGATTGAGGAACATAAGAAACATGTTACATTCAACACAAGGGTACATACTTACATGAAGTCAGCATGCATTCACCAATTTACACAAATGTGAAGGCATGGTGTATTTGAACTGTACCCCAATTTTAAGACCATTTTCATAGCTGGGTACAAGACAGGAATTCAAACAGGCACAGAGTTTCACATAAACATCTGAATATGAATACAAAAAAATATGAACACACTCTTGGACATCCCAGAACCTAAATGGCAATAACTCAAGTTACTAGTTGGAAGTCCAAAATGTGAGGAAAAGTTTAATTGTTTTACATTGATCAAGAACATCATCCCAGCTCAAGCTATTGGTGAAAAGTTATTACAACTCCTGGAACCTTTATTTCTTTAATATTAAGCATTAACTCTTCTTCTGTTGGACTTTTACTCGGGTTAAAGAAAAAAAAACAGAAAAGTGTTGTATTTATCTATTTGGTTTCAATCAAAATATTATACACAGAGAATAGAGAACATGGAGCATCCTTCAGAATGCCTGATTTTTTGTCATGCATTTTACTTCTTGATCTGAATGTTAAATGATTTTCTAAGAGGAAATTAAAACTTGATGAAATATGTTGGGTGTTCTTATATCATGTTTGAGGGTCTGCTTTCTTTCGCAAATTAAATTCCACTGTCATCAACTTGTTTCTTCCAACAAATTCCACATTAAGAGAGTAATGTATATATCAATACTAATATGGCAATGTCTTTTCTCTCTTAAGTGGATCAGCTTTTGAGTTAGCTTTATGTGTGTGTTCATATTATTGTAAGACTGGTCATGTTTAATTTTGTATTTGCTGAATAAACTCGTTTTTGTTAAGTAATCTCTTTTGCTCTGGACTAAGCCGGCTCTGGCACACAAGCAAGCTGTTTTGTTTGCGGTTGTTTTCATGCTACCCATAAACAGTATACCTGATGGAGAGACCAGCGAAATTAGAAACTGCTTCTTCCAACCTCATTTTGTAAATATGTGTTAAATATGAAAGAGTTGCAGATAATATGCTAGTCTGTTTGTTCCTCCTGCCTTCTAATGTTCACAGGTCTTATGCCTTCCTATTTATTAATGTAGTACCAGCTTTGTTAATACGATGCCAGCTACTAAAATAGAGAACATTAGCTAAACTTGAGTACCCACTATTATAGATGAAATATTCATGAAAACCTGTTTAGCTAATGTTCTTAGTTTAAATCTTTTCCAAGTTTGGTTGTGTTGGTTCAACTATATCAAATTTATATAAAGTACATGAAGGTAATATTGACCTAATGCATTAATTTATTTATAGGTGTGGAGATAACGGTGTGAATAGACTTATTTGTGGATTAGAAGGGAACAGAAAGCTTTTAACCCTCAGCCTCTGCTACTGTGATTTAGGACCTCAAAGTGGAACAATATTAGCAACTCTAATAATCCAGACTGCTATTTGGTAAGGCTTTTTGGGCAGTAGTAGCATTATTGCACTTACCTATTTCATACTTTTGCAATGCTAATCAATGGCAATAGTCTGTATAACACTAAATAATGGAGGAAGTAACCTTCTCAAGCCTCCTCTATGTGATGTTTATCTATTTTATTAGTATGTCAGTTTATATCCTGAAGTATAAGTCTATTTGATTTGCAGTTCCTTATCTCTATGTACTTAGGGCAGTGGGAGGGGCTTCAGGTCATGTGACTGCTCAATTACTTTTAGAATGTTCAGTTCCTTCCTTTCTATTCTCTTGTAAGCATGTAAACTTTTTCCACCAAATGATATAAGATCTAAGTTTCTTCTTCCTCGTGCTCCTCTTTCTAAACAGGCAAAGGAAAACCCTTCCTCCCACCAACGCTAACACTGCTGTTGCTTTCTCTCTGTGGATGAGACTTTATGTATCAGAAATGTTGTCAATTGCATAGCATTATCTTTAGGTGTGATGATGAGTAAGAGAGCATTCACTTAAAGTAGTTAAGAGTGCATTGTTATTAGTCATCACTGCAACCTCATGTCTGTGTTGTAAAGACAACAAATCTAATTTATATTTGTCCATGAAACATTTTAAAAATTGTTTATCACAGCAACCTGTTTCTCAGTGGCAACCATTTACAATGCTTGGGTGCCACCGAACTCCTTAAACCATTATCAAAATATGCAGAAGAGCTTGGACAAGAGAAAAAGTCAAACACTTTGGCATGCAGTAATAATACTTCCCGCTGCATTCTTGAAGGTAGGATTGTTTTGGCCATTCACTCATGTATATTAATCTGTTAAATGATAGACTGAAACTATTAAACTACTTGTTTTTGATTAAAATGGGTATGTGTGCTTTTTTGGTAAATTTACCACTGTAGATTTTGGCTGCTGAAGTTTGAAGATTCTGCAGCATGAAAAACTTTTTCCCTTAAGGCCTGTGCTGCCCACCTGCTTTGCTTACAATTAATATAACTGAAAGCTATTCATATACCATAAGCAAGATGTACCAGTAGTGTACACTTTGGTAAAAGGGAAAATAGTGTTTGTAAATTAACTGTATATGTGCACTCTGGTGATCTATTTAATAATAGTATATATAGAATACACTGTCACAATATCTACCACTGGTTAAGTATGTATGTACAGCATGTAACTACAATAAGACCTCTAAATCCATGAGGTATCCTATACATTCCTGGACAGACTGAAGCTATCTGAAACTGAAGCTGGGGGAAGTTGAAGTTAAAAGCATCTAGTGAAGGCTGGTCTACATTCCAGTGGCTATATTCACTCTGTTCTGCATTCAGACGTCACTTGGGCAACGTCCTTGCAGACAGCCAATTCTCTCACACCAGAAATGACTTGCAGTTTCTCAAATCACTCCTGACATGGAAAAAAAAATCAGCATCTTTCTGCCCCTCAGGCAATGCGAGATTTTTCTAGTAACAAAGTATACATTTCATATTTTAATCAGATGATGTGTATGGTTTTTGTTTTCAACAGCAAACAAAGATGCAAGCATTAATTCAAAAGTTGTTCACAGAAATACCACTTCTAGACCAAACAGCTCTATGGATACTGCATTAGAAAGCAACAGGAAGAAAAAGAAAACAAAAGGTATAATTCATTTACCCAGCGAGGTAGAACTAACAGGATAATATAAAGCAAGGGTCGGGAACCTATGGCTCGCGAGCCAGGTGTGGCTCTTTTGATGAGTGCATCTGGCTCGCCCGTGTATTCCCTTGGAAAGGAACTGAGCCCGCCTTTGGCTGATTAGGCCCCGAAGGAAGGGAGGAGGGAAGGAAGGGAGAAGGGAAGCAACGGGGAATCTTTTCCCCACCGAAAGCCCACCTTGACCCGTTGCGGCCTAGTCGCCTCCGCCGATCCCCGGCCTCGCGTAGCGGCCTCGCCGGGCCCGGAGCAGGGGAAGAGGGGAGAGCGAGAGGGGCCTTTCTTCAGCTACGGCGCCCGAGAAGCGAAGCTCTGGCCGAGGGAGGGAAAGGGGCGGAGCGCGCCACGCCCCCTCTCGGGCCGCCGGGGGAACTGCACCGCACCGAGGCCGTTTCCGCCTCCCTTCTCGCCCTGACTACAGCTCCCGGCATGCCCCGCGATAGCCCTCCAGGCTAAGGGATGCCGGGAAATGTAGTCTGAAAGGGAAAAAAGGGAATTAGACACCATTCCCATGTTTATAGGATTGAATTTCCTGAGGCCTTGCAAAACTACAGTTCCCATCTTTGTTGTATTGTGTTTCCTGAGGCCTTGCAAAACTATAACTCCCATGTTTCATAGCATTGAGTTTCCTGAGGCCTTGCAAAACTACACCTCCCATGTTTCTATAGCCATGAGTTTGGAGTGGCCTTGCAAAACTAGGACTTCCATTATTCCATAGCATTGAGTTTCCTGAGGCCTTGCAAAACTACAATTCCCATGTTTCTCTGGGTAAACAGGTAAACGCCCCCTTTTGAATCAGTCTGCTCGGTCATTAGCTCAAAGCTAACCCTTCAACGAAGAAGATGGCGAAAAGAAAAAAAGATGATGAGTATCGTACATTTCAGGATGAATGGACTGAAGAATTCGCCTTTGTAGAGAGAGCAGGTTCTGCGGTGTGCCTAATCTGCAATGACAAAATTGCATCGATGAAACGGTGGAATGTAAAGCGGCACTTCGACACACGCCATGCTACCTTTGCATCAAAATACCCTGCGGGAGACAGCAGGAAGAAAGCGTGCCAAGAGCTGCTGAGCAGGGTGCAAGCTAGCCAGCAGCAACTCCGCGTATGGACCCGGCAAGGCGACTATAATTCCGCTAGTTTTGCTGGATCTTTAGCAATAGTAAGGAACGGAAAACCATTCACAGATGGCGAGTATGCTAAAACGTTGATGCTGGATGTAGCCAATGAACTTTTTGATGATCTTCCGAACAAAGATAAGATAATCAAACGGATACAAGACATGCCTCTGTCGGCAAGAACTGTTCATGATCGTACCATCATGATGGCAAACCAAGTGGAGGAAACGCAAGTGAAGGACATAAATGCAGCGCCGTTCTTTTCCCTGGCTTTGGATGAGTCAACAGACGTAAGTCATTTGGCGCAGTTCAGTGTGATTGCAAGATATGCTGCTGGTGACACACTGCGCGAAGAAAGTCTTGCTGTTCTGCCAATAAAAGGGTCCACAAGAGGTGAGGATTTATTCAAGTCTTTCATGGAGTTCGCTCGTGAAAAAAATCTACCTATGGATAAACTTCTCTCAGTGTGTACTGATGGTGCTCCGTGTATGGTGGGGAAAAACAAAGGATTTGTGGCGCTTCTCCGTGAACATGAAAATAGACCCATCCTAAGTTTCCATTGCATTCTACACCAGGAGGCACTTTGTGCTCAGATGTGTGACGGTCAGCTTGGCGAAGTGATGTCGCTGGTCATTCGTGTGATCAACTTTATTGTTGCCCGAGCCTTAAATGATCGCCAGTTTAAAACACTGCTGGATGAAGTTGGAAATAACTACCACGGTCTGCTTTTGCACAGCAATGTGCGTTGGTTGTCACGAGGGAAGGTGCTCAGCCGTTTTGCGGCTTGCCTGAACGAAATCCGGAATTTCCTTGAAATGAAAGGCATCGAGCATCCTGAGCTAGCCGAAACTGAGTGGCTCCTCAAGTTTTACTATCTCGTGGATATGACTGAACATCTGAACCAGCTCAACGTGAAAATGCAAGGCATTGGAAATACAGTGTTATCCCTTCAACACGCCGTGTTTGCTTTTGAAAACAAGCTGGAGCTCTTTATCATGGATCTTGAAACGGGTCGTTTACTACATTTTGAAAAACTGAGACAATTTAAAGATGCATGCACAGCAAGTGAGCCCACTCAAAACTTTGATCTCCACCAGCTAGCTGGCTTCACATCCAGTCTCCTACAGTCGTTCAAAGCACGCTTCGGAGAATTTCGTGAGCACACTCATCTCTTTAAGTTCATCACCCATCCAAACGAGTGTTCACTGAACACAGCCGACCTGAGTTACATTCCTGATGTCTCCCTCAGAGATTTTGAAGCAGAAGTGGCTGACCTGAAGGCCTCAGACATGTGGGTGAATAAGTTCAAGTCACTGAATGAAGATTTGGAAAGAATCGCACGACAGAAAGCGGAGTTGGCGAGCAAGCACATGTGGACAGAAATGAAAAAACTTCAACCTGAAGACCAGCTGATTATCAAAACTTGGAACGCGCTTCCTGTCACATACGACACACTGAAGCGTGTGAGTATTGCTGTATTGACCATGTTTGGATCTACGTATTCATGTGAGCAGTCATTTTCACATCTTAAAAACATCAAGTCCAACCTACGATCACGTTTAACGGATGAAAGCCTCAACGCCTGCATGAAGCTTAACCTCACCAAGTACCAACCAGACTACAAAGCCATCAGCAAATCCATGCAGCACCAGAAGTCGCATTAATGGTGAGTATTATAACAACATTATTTAAAAGAATAAATTCAGAGGCTTATTATACTCACATTTAGTTGAATTCAGTCTTAAAATATATTATATGGCTCTCACTGAAATAAATTTCCAAATATTTTGCTTTCATGGCTCTCTGAGTCAAAAAGGTTCCCGACCCCTGATATAAAGATTGCAAGACATGTAATGACTGCTCCTCTTCTATTTGATTTTAAATGACATTTTAATTAAGGTATGTTGAGCTCTGTAGAAGAATGCAGAAGTAACTTCTTCCCTGCCCAGAGTCCTTCACTCTAAAATTCCTTACTTCATAGCCAAGCATTGCTCCTTTCTTTTCACCACTTTGCATAATTTATCTATGCCCCAGTTCTCAGTGGGAACCTCAAGCAGCTCCACCATTTGGGGCTTACACAGGAAACAGTGGCCTCTTTTTTTATATCTTCAACTGAAACTGAAACTCTCAGGAATACTTTAGTTTATTCCAACATGACAGTAGGTTAAACTTGATGGACCTGGTTGTTCCTTCCAGTACTACCATTCACACTGATTTTATGACTCTCTCTCTACTTAAAAAAAATTAATCCTTCTTGGCTGGGATGCTAGGGCTCAAGGAGGAAATAATTTGGGCTATCACTTTGTTCAGCCTCATCTTTTCCAACCAACTTCCAGAGACCTGAAATAGTACTAATTACCTCTGCGTGTTTGCATGGCTGTATGCCTTCAAGTGGCATGTTGGCTTATAGTGACCCCATTAATTTCATAGGGTTTTCTTAGGCAAGGACTACTCAAGAGCCCTTCCTCTGAAATATAGCCTACAGCACCTGGTATACACTGGTCTGCCATTCAAGCATATTTATTTATTTAGTTATAGATGCGGTCTTTTTCCCAAAATGGGACCAGACCTAACCCTGCTTAGTTTCTAAGATCAGATGAGATATGATACTTTTCAGGTATTTAGATCTATCCGACAACTATATTTTGCATAATGGGAAGTAGTGAAAACTATGCTTTACGCAAAAAAATAGCTATGCTGAATCACTTTCAGGCAGACATATATATATTCATTTCATGTGTGGAAAAGGCACTTGTTTTTGCTCTGCAAAAAGAGCAACTAAAATGTATTTACAACATAAAATGCAGAGCAATTAGACATAGGTTGAATACTATGTTCTGCAAAGAAGTTCCTTAAGTCTGGGAATTTTTTGGATGACAAACTCACCTTTTAAAAATCAATGCTAGAAACTATGTGAAGAGTTGCACTGACCAGCTTCTATATTAATATGCATTGGACTAGACTGTAATAAAGGTAGATTGAAAAATGTGATGAAGAGATTGGATCAATTTACTGTAAATATTACTAATCCCAAGAAAAGCCATGTGTCTTTCATAAAATAGGGTGGCCTCTTCCAATTTAAAAAAATACACTTAGAGAAGATCACATATGGTATGGGCCATCACACATTAGTGTGCGTATCTCTATTGTACAAGAAATAACGCTTATGTGCCTATGCTGTTTGCAGGCTTAAAGAAGAAAAGTAAGAAGCATGACTTTGGTCCATGGCTAGCTAAACTGCATTTGGCTGACAATGGTGTAGATGGAAGGTTTAAACAAAGAGAAGAAAACTTGTGGGAGTTCATTCAGCTTTTGACTAGGTAAGGCAAATTGGTAAGAGGACCTGCATCCCTTTCTGGTGTTTTCTGTGGTACTACAGAATGCTCTTATATTTTGGCTAGGATCCAGAATATATATTTAAGTCTATTTTGCACAGCTCAAGCTTGTCAAAGCTTTACTTGAACAACTTGGTACTCCTTTTGACAAGGAAAGACACATGAGATTTATCTTTGGAAAATTATCAAATTGAATACTGAAATTGAATTTAATGGTAATCAGACCAGACTGTATCGCTTGCAGGGAGGCAGACAGCAAGTTTTCCATGTCCCCAAACTATTGTGCTGTTGTCTTTATCATGATGGAGAACATGCAACTCTCTACATCAGGGCTGACAAGTGCACACTATAGTGGAACTACTAATTTCCTTGATTTTGAAACTATACTGCCATTAATTCAGATTAGTATTTGCCTTTTCGGTGCAGCATCACACCTTATACTTGACTATAATCCCATGGTCCTTTTTGCATGTAGAATTACTAAGCCAGGTATCCCCGTGCTTTTGGTTTTTGTGGCTAAAATATATAATTCTGCACTTAATTTCATTTTATTCATTTTCTGCTCGATTTTCTAGCTTGCTTAGTTACTTCTGAACACAGAGACACTACTCCAACCCCTCCTTTGTTTAAAACAGAGCCATTGAGATGAATTTGCTAATCAAATTATGAGGGAACTTATCCAATGCTTGCTGAAATCCAGATAAATCCAGATAAATGACATCCACAGCATTCTCACCATCTACTGAACAAATGATATACAATTTATATATAATGACCTTTTAAAATCTTTTTCAAAAGGACTCCCAACTGTTGATATTCTTTTTAATATGAGTTCTCATTTGTTTAATGAAGCATATTCAAAACCCTAACTTTATATTAAAAATGCAATTAAGACCATTTTCCTACAACATCAATCTTCTGCATTAGTAATCAAAACTTAAAACATACTAAACATAATTTAAATAAATAAATGAAATGTGATGTGCCACAATGGTCATGCTCTTATATTAGTAATCTTTTATGCCACTTTGAGTTTTCTTGTGGAGAAAAAAGTGGGGTATAAATTTTCTATATATAAAAAAATGTATTTTTTTTTTGTGGAATTAACATAACTCAAAAACTACTGGATGAATTGACACCAAATTTGGACACAATACACCTAGCAGGCCAACGAGTGACTATTTCTCATAAAAAATGAAAAACACAGCAGAAGAGACTTAAAATGCAAAAAAAACACACCATTATAACGCATGTGCAAAACCACATAAACACATACACACACACATATACACAGACTGGGCCACAGCAACGTGTGGCAGGAGACGGCTAGTAAACAATCATTTTTCATGAAATGTGTAGATTTTATGCATCTTTGGAAATATTTGACATATATTCATATTCAACTTTAATGTTTTAATCACAGTCTAATCAAGAATTCTAACAACCTAGTGGAAGTTGATATTGATGGCAATGCTATTGGGGAGCAGTGTGCTTTCAAGATATTAGAAGCTCTTAAGGAACGAAAGAAAGGTGGGATCTTCTAAGCAATACTTGAAATATATTTCCTGATATATTTAATTTGTGCATCCTTACCTGCTGAGTAAGTGGTAAAGAACTAGGAAAGAACAGTTGTATTCTAATACCTCTTTTCATTAAATCTATCCAGTCTGGAACTTTTAAAGCAAATACTGACCTGGAATCATGTTGGAGGCCTAGAAAGAAGACTTTCCTAGGCATTTTCTAAGTCCTCCAGAGCGATACTATGGTATTCAAATCACGTCCAACAAATTTGAATAATAAGGATCTACTGTACTAACATATTCCTTCCAAATAAGAAAAAATTCACAGATTTTACATGTATAAGAGTATCTATTTTGTCTTCCTAAAACATAAGTGAACACTGTTAATCCAATATATGGCCAACTCTGAGAAACTTTTAGGGTACAGCATCTTTCCTTTTCTAAAAATAGGAAAGTGATACATGTATTGATTTTGTCTCTATAGAAGAAATGCCACGCTTAAAAATTAAGGTTACCCCACGGATTTCAGCATCAACTTTTGAGCAAATTTTCATGATTTCCTCAAAAAGCGGTTCAGCTAAAAAAAGAAAGAAGGTAAGGAATTTGTTTGCCATAATTTAAATTTTTGTCCAGACATTTTTACCACTAAGCAGTCTGCTAACTTTAGGGAATTTTAATAAAATATCTGATCATTTATCATTCTGAATCAGAAAGAACTGGAAATGCATAGAATAGAGGAAGAGTGTCATCTATTCCTTCTCCTTCTAATAGATTATTGGTGTTAGTTATTACTATTGGTCTGGAACTGTGTATATGCAATCCCAAATCTTGTCTTGTGTTATTTTTCAGCCTATAACAATCCATGTACATCATCAATTTATCTTCATATTTCCTCCTGTTGAGTGCTGGGGTTGGGCAATTAGCTTACTTTAACCAATACCAAACCTTGCTGAAATTTATTGACATTGGCTTTGTTTTTATTTTACAGAAAATTAAGTGATTTCAGAAGATATAAAATTCAAGAGGTTAAGAAACTTCAGCAATTCTTTACATGATGATCTACGTTTGGAAATACTATGTTGTGTTCTCAGTTTCTTCTTAAGAATATCCAGAATAAGTTGATATATTTTTAAACTTTTACAAGCTTTATTTATTGTATTAAAACAAAATTATGCAACTGCCTACAAATAAAAAATAAACACACTACATAGCAACTTAACACCCACATTGGCTCTCTTCAACTCGTATTATTTTGAAGTGGGATGTCAGTGTTATTTATAAATGGGTACTCAGTGTATTGCAAAGTTTATATATCATCATCTGCTTTGTTTGCATGCTAATTATGGTAACAAAATATATATTCTTTCAGATGAAGAACATTTTAAAGGACCATCATAATTCATTCTGTCTTATCTTGGAGGGGAAAATGTACTGAGATTGGGCTGACTGCCCAGTTCTGTAGCTCCTTCTTTCACTACTTAGTCAAAATAAATTAATACCCTTAAAATGGTGAAATTATTCCAACAAAAATGCAGTATTGGCTGTGGGGCATAACAGAGTACACAAAAAGATTGATATTGGAAAGCTTTCTACCTGTCACATCACCAATTAATTGCAGCACTCATACAGCAAGTTTGTGGGCCTCAAGATGGCATTTGCCTCTTACAAAGCCTCTCAAGGAAGCAGAACACAAATGCACAGTCCCAACAAAAGCTCTTTCAAAACCAAATTGCAGAAATTTGGGGCAGATTTCAAAATCTAAATCCTTTCTCGCTACTGCTCTATTACCACTGAATTAGAGCTACCACAGCTACTAAAACCCTTGATAGTATTCCCTAAAATTACTAGGACCTCCAGGATGGTGCACATGACAATCTTTTCATTACAACTCAAAGCTGAAGACTTGGGAGGAATAATTTACAGTCCAAGAATGTTCCTGAGTCCATAGAGGGCAACTACATGATGTTGGCCAGGCTTCTTAAACATTTCTACTTGGGACCACTTTTGGCCCAAGAATTGTTTACATGACCTCAGATATATTTGACATATAAGATAGGTATAAAAACCGAACATTTACTGATAACAAATCAGCATTTGTAAGTCTTGCTAAACAGGCTAATTTTCCTTTACATTAAGTACAGCTGAAGCATTTTCTGTAGAGTCCACTGTAAACACTGCCCAATAGATCTGTGTAAATATCTAAACACAGCCATAAGGTGACATTCAGAAAAAAAAAATCTTGAACTGAACATTGAACTAAGGAGAGCCCATTTGGGGTCAGAGGTATAGATGAGGAAAAAAACAGAAAAAATGGGGGAAAGTATTTTTTCAGTGTTTTCCCCAATTTTTTTGCCCCCTGCCCAGGCCAACCATTTTTCTTTTGTTTACAGGTCTTCCCATCTCTAGGCAGAACTCATGGTTTAAGAAGCAATGATTTAGGCAATCTTATCATGGTTTTCAGAACTGTGTCCCACAGAGAACTGCACCTTTAATTGCCAAGGATGTAGAGATGGCTCCTTACATGGTTGTCAAGAAATCATCACTGTCATGCCTCCGTGAAGACCCTCACTGTTTCCTTTATTTAAGTCCCATTTTTAGTTAGAGGGGATGCACATTTTATGTATAGTTTGTGAGGAGGCAGATAGATAGCCCCCTTTCCTTTAAGCTCCCCTCTCCCTGTCCCTTTAAGAATCCTCTTAAGATAGATATCTACATAAAAACTCCAACCATCACCCAAGTCAAAAAAGAAACACCATCAAAGCCTTGGCAGACCGTGCAAAAAGAATCTGCGAACCCCACCTCCTTCGAGATGAACTGAACCACTTCAACTGGGCTCTACACGCCAATGGATACTCCACCTCAGACATCAGAAGAGCTGATGAGACCAAGAACAAGCCACGAGAGTAAAGACAAAGACCCACCCAGAGGAAAAGTGTTCTTGCCATACATCAAGGGAACCACTGACCGCACAGGGAAGCTGATGAGGAAACACAACATACGAACTATCTACAGACCCACCAAGAAAATCCAATAAATGCTATGTTCAGCGAAGGACAAGAGGGATCCTCTCACTTCTGCAGGAGTCTACCGGATACCATGCAGCTGTGGACAAGTCTACATAGGGACCACCAAACGCAGCATTGCCCAAACACGAATCAAGGAACATGAAAGGCACTGCAGACTACTTCAACCAGAGAAATCAGCCACAGCGGAGCACCTGATGAACCAACCTGGCCACAGCATATTATTTGAGAACACAGAAATGCTGGACCACTCTAACAACCACCATGTCAGACTACACAGAGAAGCCATTGAAATCCACAAAGCATGTGGACAATTTCAACAGTAAGGAGGAAACCATGAAAATGAACAAAATCTGGCCACCAGTATTAAAAAAAAACCCCTAAAATTACAACAGCAAAACAACAGAGGGGAAACAATCAGGGACATCTAATCACCTCTCAACAAAAGATTGCCCCAGGCACTGCCAGGCCATCAAATGCTAATCAAGGTGGCAGTTGAAACATTCACACCTAGCTCCAACAGACAGGAGTCCTTTGTCCCACCCTGGTCATTCCACAGATATATAAACCCATTTTCCTACCTCTGAGGATGCTTGCCATAGATGCAGGTGAAACGTCAGGAGCAAATGCCTCTAGAACATGGCCATATAGCTTGAAAAAACTTACAGCAACCTAGTGATTCCAGCCATAAAAGCCTTCGGCAATACAATCCTCTTATAGGCGGAGATTCAGGCTAAACCCAGGCATGGGCAAACTTCGGCCCTTCAGGTGTTTTGGACTTCAACTCCCACAATTCCACAATTACGGTAGGCTGTTAGGAATTGTGGGAGTTGAAGACCAAAACACTTGGAGGGCCGAAGTTTGTCCATACCTCGGCTAAACCACTTTATTCCTTAAAGAATCAGCCTTTTTTACTACTGTTAAGTGAGAAGAGAGGAAGGCCAGGAAGGTCCAGTCAGAGTCATGTCGAAGTCACTTCCAGTCACAGATAGAGTCAAAGTTGGAGTCAAGACAAAAGAGGAATCATTTCAAGTCAAGTAGTAGCATCACTCCAGAGACAGACAGACGCCAACAAGAGAAAGAACAGCAGAGAAGTAATTCAGAGTCCCCCTCTCAAGGGCTTTATCTATCTTCCGAGGACTTTGTCAGTTAGACCCGGGAGGCAAAAGTGGTTGGAGCTTTTATCAGTTATTAAATCCTTGTTGACTCTCTAAGCATCCTCCAATCTCTTCCCTGCACAACAGACACCTTCCAGATAGATAGCTAGTGTGGGGGCTGAACAATCATCTTCTAGAAAAGTTCAAGATATTATTACAAAATTTGTTTTGTTGTTTTAAATTCCTCCAACCCACTCCACTCCACGGAAGTGAATCAAACTGCAATATCATTATGGCAGTACAACAATCATAATAAATAATAAGCTTTATTTTATATCCCTCCCCCTCTCCCCAAATGGATTCCGGGCAACAAAACAAACAAATACATGATATAAGGAATAAATGATATAACACAAACAATAATCACATATCAATTAATAAAACAAAATAGCACAATAGTATAAAAGTAAATAAATAAACAAATAGTTTATAAGACAGTATATATATAAATGCTATTTAAAACCAGCCAATTGCAATGATCAGGGTATCCAGCGTTATAAATTATAGTTCTAATAACCATTTAAAGTCCTGTGAAATAAGATGGTTGATACTCTTAGCCATTATCAAAAGCCTGCTTAAATAGCCAGGTTTTCAACTCCTTCCTGAAAGTGATGAGGGTAGGTGCTTGTCTAATTTCCTTCTAATTACAAGCATCACCAACCCTATTACAGTTTCCCCCAAAAGGGAAAAACACCAACATCTGAAGCGACGGAAGCAATGGATCAAGCAATGGAGAGGGCCTTCTCAGTGGTGGCCCCCCAGCTTTGGAATACCCTCCAAAGCACCTGAAGAGGCAAAGCTTTCCCAGGCCTGGATTTTGAGGCCCACTGGTCTCTCTTCCGGT